ATGGTGCCTATACCCCTCATTTGTTTATTATTTTTAATAAGTATTAACCCTGTGTAAAAATGTGAAGCTGATTCAAGTTGGAGGTGGTGGAAAGAAAAAAAAAAAGTGCTTTAACAGATGTAACAATTTCTGCAAGCCAGGAATTCATGATGTTACAAAAACAAGGTTTTGGCACATGAAGGGCTGCTTATCATTTTATTGCTACAAGGCTGCCAAAGCGTTGGTATGGATTCCTGCAGGGGCTTTGGGGTCAGGGTGGGGGACTCTTCTTTTTTGCTGTCAGTTTCATTTCTAGTCAGAATAATTAGCTATATATTTTTTTTTTGTCTTTGTATAATTCTGGTACATCATTGTGTATTGTGACATGGATGCTGTCAGAACGGATGTTGATGGCATTTTTGTAAGCTGTTGCTTTGTGTCACCTCATTGGAAGTTAGCAGCAATGGTACTCAATGTAAACAAAACAAACTTGAACTGAAAGTAAACACACTGGATTGCTTATCTGTGAAGAAGTCACTGTCAGGAAATCACCAAATACACCCGCATACGCTTTTTATTTGCCCCGTGGCCCGCTGTGGCCTGTCAGGGTACCAGGGTGTAGTTCAGCAGCTCAGCTAATAATCTCCTGGTAACCTCCTTCAGATCATATTTGAATTTTTTTCTTCCAAGGAGTTATTCCACTAGCAGGTAAACAGGTATATACTACTTTGATATCTACTTCATCATCATATTGGTTACAATGGAAAACTTCTAACTATCCCATCTATAGTATGCAAAACTGCATAGACTTAACATAATCCCCCAAATCAAACAAGTCCTCGTGAAGGGTACTGAAGAAACAAGACACTGACTATTAAATGGGTATCATATGAATTGCCTCCCTTCTCTTTCCATGCATCTATTTCCACAGTTTCCACTAAGCCCAATCCTAAAGCAGAGATGCCATTTCTCTGAATAAGATACATAGAGACGGACACAAAAGGGCAGAGAGCCCTGTCTTCAGGGATTGGACTACCGAGAAGAAAGGGTTCAATAGTACATGTTTCTCTCCTATTTCATCAGTGTGCCTCAGCTGGAGAGCTTCCCATTTCAGTAGGAACAGCAAAGATTTGTCTGGCCTAATTTGAACAGAAGACAGAACTATAAATGAGCGCTTGACCATTCAGACCTTGCCTTCATGCTTTTTAAAAAAAATGTATTTCAGAGTTTCATATGTTTACTCAGAAAATATGTTTACTTTCCTCTCAAGAGCAACCTGGGGGAGGTGAGAGGGAGGGTGGTGGTGGAAACACAAATGTTCTTGCTTTCTCATCTACTGTCTCCTCCCTCCTGCTGGCCATTGCCTGTTGAGTCTACATTTATTCTGTCATAGACCAGAGTAAGCAGGTTACTTCCAAAACATTCATATGCACACAAAATATCACAGTGTAAGCTGGCTGTAACAGAAGCTTGGCCGAACATGACAGGGTACAAGATTGCTGCAAAGATGCCAAAATTGCATTGCTGCAAATGATACTGCCTGAATAGCCTGAATTTACTAGACAGTTTTTTTATGCATGTCAAAAAAATATTCAATTTGCACAGTAACAGGGGTGTGTTTTTCCTTTAATAGCTACTTACTCACAAAATCAATTACAGTGAAAACTCCTTCAGAAAAATACCTTTTCCTGCCCCATATAGTACACAAAACTGCATAACTGGGTGTGTTGGGATGGCAGTGGAAACCACCTCTCCTGAGTTCAAGACATAGGTAAAGCAATAAAAGAGTCTGAGGGACAGTGTGGTTCAGAAGACTCATGCAAAGCCTTTTAGTCTGAATCGACATGTCATACTTTTGGTTTTACCTTGTCTTGCTCCTTGAAAGCAAGTCCAAAAAACAAACAACATGCATGTTGATATGGTTTCCAGCATCTGTCAAAATAAAACTCTCAAGTCATAGCAGCTGTAAAGCTGTCTGAAGCTTCAGGTTCTGTAATGGGTTTTTTTGCATTATGGTTTTCATGTCTATAGCTCTGCTGTCACCATAGATGCTCCATATTGATCTGTTGGTCTTACAGCATCTACTGACCCAGATGCATGTCAAAAGCAGCTCTGCACAGTGAGTGACCGTTAATCGAAACCAGGGCAAGTTTTTCTCCTTGCTGCCTCATGCTGTGAATGCTGCCATGGAAGGAACAAACAAGTAAACCTTAAGACATGTTTTAGAAGAGCTAAGAAGCTTTTAGAGCCATGGGTGAAAGTGTTGCCTCTTCTAGCATGCCCTGTGCAGTGAGCCCTGACATACTTGGGTCTTCAGAACTGTTTCCTTCTGTCCTCACACAAGGATTAAGAAAAGGTTGGGAAGCCTTACTTGTGCTTAATGTCATCTGTATTGGTTAGCAGTGTTCTTTACAAATTAATTGTGAGGTTTCACAATCATTTCCTCTCCCCATGGCATTCCAAAGGAGTGGAAAGAATTGTCTTGCTGATGTTAAAAGGTTATGTGCTTAGAAAGCATAAAACTGCTGAGTGAACATACTCTCTCAAAACTCCCTCCATCCAGTTAAAAAGGCAGACTTGATGGCAGCAAAATAGTAAGATTTATGTTATCAAACACAACTCCTTTTCTCCATAATGAATAAGGCACTTTTTTAACATTTTAAAAACTGTTTTGTTTCCTTTTCAAAGACACCTTTAATGTATCACATCTTTCTAAAATATTAGTGTAAAAAAATCCTCACTGCTCAAATTCTAAAGACAACATTTTGAATGAAACACTGCATTTGACCACTGTTTTCATTTAAGACACTGCAAATTTTGAAGAAAACATTTCATTTTCATTTGAGGAACCCCAAATGAAATCTCCTTTTGATTTCTGATAACTGTCAACAAGCTGAAAATTCAAAAACTGCACAGTAGAGGGGTGAAGCTCTCTGCAGTGCTCTAAACCACCAAGGAAATTCCAGCAAAAAGGGGAATAATCTGCCTTAATGCCACTCAGATTTCACAGACTGTAACACAGAAATCATAAGGTCTAGTTAAGCAAAGTTGAAGGGTAAAATAAATCTCAAGTTGTACTGGGCTGTTAAGTCATTAGTAGTTAATTTTAAAACTATGAAAAAACTCAGAAACAAACCAACCAACTCCCAAACCCCCAGATTATTCTGCCTATCCCTCAAGTATACGGAAGGGGTTTCCTGTTTTCTTCTCAAGTATCTGCAAAGATGCCTTCAAACACACTGACCACATTCAAACTTGTCTGGCTCTTTCTACACAAATTAAATTCTACACAGAAGCCCAGCTTCAAAAAAACTAGTTGTGAAGCCACCTCTTTTCTCTCGGAGATGAACCACAGGTTCTTCTTCCAAGACCTCCACATGCCAAACTCCTCAAAGTCTGGAGAGTCTCAGAGCTGATGGGTCCTTTTGGGCAAAAGACAACACTATGCTAAATGCCAGAATAAGCTTGCAGAGAATATGAATACTGGCTTCATATTTTGCTAATTAACAGCAGAACAGAGATGTGGGTAACCACCACTGTGCATTTTATGGAATCACACATACTTCCATTAGAAAATACAGTGACACTAGTTTTTAAATATGAGTTTCAAAGACCTTTTTAAAAGCTTTCTACCCCTATACACAAAAGTAACGAAGCATCTATGTAAGAGTAGCTACAGATCTTCCTTTACTTTGTCATTCACTACCCAATGTAGGGGACACTGTACAGTGAACACTCTTCACGCAAGGTATGGATGCTTACTAGCGAGGGTGGGGAAGAGGAAATTTTAAATGTGAATCAGAGAATACATCAAGCCTTGGGAGGATTGGGCTTGACCTTTAATGATAGGACGGGCAGTGAGACAGACAATTTTCCTCCATAAGGCTATGTATATAGGTTGAATGGATGCAGTTATCATGTAGGGTCCTGGTTCAAATGCTTCCTAGAGGGAAAAAGCAATCAAGAACAGTTTCTTTCAACAGGTGAAACAAGAATCCATTTCTTAGTGATTGCCAAGGCAGTTGGAGTCTTCAGTTTGGGATTTGTCACTTCTTAACCCATTCCTGGATAAGACTACATTAAATCACAGATTTAGAACCTATGTACTTTTCACAGGCATAAGGAGTATATATTAACTATGAAAATATACGTAGACACGTAACGAGCACACAGAAGAAGTGTTTGTAAGGACATTTACAATAAATGGCACTAAACACCTTTATTAAGATTTTAATTTTCCTTTTATGAAAAATGAATAGGATTCTTTTCTCCCTTGTATGCACAAGAGCAAACTAATGGCAAAAATCAAGAACATCTTCTTATTCAATACCATCTTTGTAGCCACAAAGATACAACTATTTAACAGACAAGAAATACTGTTTATTGCAGATGTTAAGCTCAATCATGTGAAAAAGGCACTATGAAACTTAATCAAACTTGTCTAAATTAAGTGATATTATATATTATATATTACACATATATTATATATATAATAACACATGACCATGTGAAATAACAGAACATTTTTGTGGCAAAAATCATTGCATCTTCAAAAATAATATTTGCTGGAAGGGATGTTTCCTTTTCTTCCCCTTTTGCCTCCAGAAATCCACTTTTCCAAAAGATTACATTTATAAAGGAACAATAGCTTTTTACGTAAGGAAAAACTGATGTCTGGGATCAACACAAAGAAGTCTAGATTATACGCTGTTCTTTTGATGGGTTAAGTTACAAACAAAAATATGAAAGCATATTAAAAAACCCAACATACTGCAGATTGTTTCATGTCTACCTACAGCAGATCTGATCACCTCTGAGCTGAGTTATGTTACTATTTTCTAATTATTCCTTCTTGTGCAATATCATAGTTCACCACAAGTGAAGTATTGATAAAATCAATGTACAGAGTATTATTTCGCTATAAAGAGCATCGTTAGTAATCTAAGACATCTTGGGAGTGATGCAAGAAAGATTCAGTCTATGTCAGGCTGCTGTTCATACCCTAAACATTTCCTCTCTGATTGCTGGCATCACCATATTAACTAAACATCCTGCACCGGAACCCATGACAAGAAAGACTGAGCCAGAAAGACATAATTGCAAACTACAGCAAGAGATGGGATTCAGAATCTTATTGTTAGTGAAGGGTTCAAATGCTTTTTTATGCTGGCTCAGCTTCCCTCAGATGAATTCAAAACAAAGATGTGTTCCAGTTTATCTGTTATGGAATGGTTAATTCCATAAAGCCAAGACTCATCTTTGTGTGTAAAAGAACCATGTGCCAATACTTTCACCTGTCAGGAACATCCATTGAATTCCTCATCTGTTCATTGCTAATGATGAGAAGCCAGCAGCAGGTACTTCTGTGGAGACTACTGTAAGTTTTCTGCATGGTGGCTAGTTAGGTTTACAATATTATAAGACATTCCCTTGCACTGCTTTCTAAAGCAAAGCCAGATGGTATAATGCTATGGACAATGGAATTAAGAAAAGAGGAAAGACATTTTAGTGGCTGCTTCCTTCATCAAAGGACTCCACACCTGAATCTGTGGCAGCTGCACTGATTTTTTCTTGCCGTCTTCTCATAATTTCTTGCAGTTCTGAACTACCACTGTTAGCCTATAAACAAATAAAAAACAAAATGAGTTTACTTGCGGATTTGATATGTGATGAAGTTCCTCTGCCAGCATTTTACTAAGACAGATGTTTGAACAAATTAAACTCACCTTGCAGCTCCAGAACTAAAGATATTATTTAACCAGATTTCTAGCTCATTTGGAATAGGAAACTATTTACACCAATCTTAAATGTGGACCAGAAAAGAACCTGCAGACAACTAAAAGTGTCGGCTTGACTTTCAGCACTGCTGAGCATCTTTAATTCTCACGCAAGTCCCTGCAATTGTTGGATATTTATGAGGTGAAATATGGCTTCAGTAAAAGCAGGGTTAAAGCTCAGCAAGTTTGTTAGGACTTCACTCTTGAGTACTTAAAAATCAAGGCAATCATATTTAGAAATAAAAACACATAAAACCCTCGGTGGTTTTAGATTTATGTAAACACAAAATTCATGCTTGAACATGGATTTGCACATCCAAGGCCTAAGTAAGGATTCAGTCTTAGACAATTACATTCATTAGACAATTACAGTCATTAGACAATACACCATCATGCATTTGCTGTTCAGAGACACAGGTTTCAAACTTAAAGCACATTAATAAGAATTGAATGGTATTACTATATTGGTAACAGTGTAGCATTGTAAGGATAAAGCTTTATTTCACCTTATTGGGTGAAAAACAAGTCAGCTGAGCTAGCTGTAAACAGATTGCCTTGACAACATAAATGAAGTTATTAGTAAGGCCAGGATACATATACACTAGAGCAGAACTTTCCAAAATGTGAGTGACTTTGAATAAGACTACAGGACTATAAAGCAAGAGCCATACCCGCTATTGTGTTATTTGGTTATGACATGACCTTCCAAGCTTCAAAATCAGCTTACAAAATAGCCTCTGAATAAGGAAGCAGAAACTGTTTCTGAAAATTGTAAAACAAATTTCAGGACTGTTAAGGGAAAAATCCTTCAACTGATTCTGAAATCTGAAATTTTATCCCATTACATAAAAATTAATTTAAATTTGCCCCATTATATTCACTGCAATGCATTATCTGATGCCATTACCTGGCAGACAGGTTAGGTGTCACAGGAAGTAAGGCTAGGATGCTTCTCCTAGGTAAATTATCATAGCTCGCTCCTCCCAGAGTGGAAGAGCAAAGCAGGAGGCTTATAGTTTACTACCTGAAGGTGAAAGAGCAGTTTTATTTGTCTTAATTAATTTTGTCCTTGCCCACTTGGTTTCAGACACAGAGCAAGCGCAGCAGTCACCCATAACTGAAGTCACACACAAAAAACATCAGCAGATACCTGACAACATGCTTTATCAGAGGTCACATGGAAGTATGTTTCTGAAAATGACTGAGTAACCGCGGCTGAAGCAGTTTACCTTCCTGATAACATCAATAACCTGACTGATGACCTTGAAATGCTGCTCAACTAAACCAACTGCAATACATCAGAGGCAGGGTACAGCGTAGCTACATAGCTTAGGGCTGTTTTTAGGAATACAATTTTTGGAGCAGACTGCTAGACCTTGGCCTTAGAGATTTACCCAGCTTAGTCTCTAACCAGATCATGTGTTACCAGTAAGACCCATCATTCAATCCCACTTCTATGTCTGGGTCGTTCCATTCACTGAGGTTTCAAAGAGAATAAACTTCCAGGTAATTTGACATATATACTAGATAGAAATTATTTTCAGTTTTAGAGGGATGTGTGCCCACTGATGGAGTAGGAAGACAATGAGAATGCGGACCTGAAGTGTTCCCTTCTGGAGATGAGAAAGATGGTGTTCAAGATACGCTTTATATCCTCTATGCTTATATCCTGTAGCACTTTTCAACATCAGAGCTTGAAATGTTCAACAACAGTTAAGGAAGTGAACAGGCAAAAACTCACGTTCATAGAGACTATTATTATTTTCACTTTGCAATGAAAACGTGAATTCATACAGATGGTTAGCCAAGTTGCTATAATATACTGCATCTGGTATACAAGGTGAACTTCAAGTCTATGGAGCAACCACAGAAAACAGCTCTCGGAGGAGTACTCCGATCAGTACCAAGCCTGTGGTACCTCCTGCCTCTTCCTGAGACACTGCTGCTTGCCACCACCATTTCCTCTGGCAGAAAGGAGATTTCTGGCCTCAGCTATGACATGCCAGGGCCTACACTCTCCTGTGTTTCAGGGCTAAATGGAGCTACCATGAAAATAAAGTAAAACACTTGAAATTATGGTGCCTATTTATTTTTTTTCCTCATAAGGATAAAACTACTAAATTCCAGCAACACTAAAAGGAAAACTATAACTGCATAAAGGTGAAGATATAATTGTTTGTATTTGGGAATGCAGCCCCAAATCTGAGAGGCAGGTCTTTCACTGGCTTACAAATCCAGAAACACTTGGGGAAGATCCTGAGCAGAGCTAGTGAATAAAGACGAGGCATGGAGCTCCGTAATGCTACAGAATATGTGGGTTTCCTTTGTCTCTGGCTATTACTGTTACTTGTACTTAACATCCAGGTCATTTAGTGCAATGTGACACCACAAGTACTACCTAAAGGATGCCAGAGAACTTCATGAAAATCTGTAACTGATTAATCATGCAGGACAATGACAGTGGTCAAACCCATAACACAATAACTGCTTATAAAAAGCATTCAATTGTAAAATAGGCCTGACGCTGGTACAAGTATGTGTGCGCTTAAATGCTTCTGTTATTAAAACTGTTTCTAGTTTGAGCAGTAAGAACATAGCCCTGTTTGGAACACATGAGCTTATCTTTGCTACACATAGACATTTTGGCTGTGATCCTCACTGTTATAGAATCATATCATAGAATGGTTTGGGTTGGAAGGGACCTTAAAGATCATCTGGTCCAACCCCCCTGTCATGGGCAGGGACACCTCCCACTAGACCAGGTTGCTCAAAGCCCTGTCCAGCCTGGCCTTGAACACTTCCAGGGAGGGGGCATTCACAACTTCCCTGGGCAACCTGTGCCAGTGTCTCACCACCCTCACAGTAAAGAATTTCTTCCTAACATCTAGTCTAAATCTACCCTCTTCCAGGGCCCTTGTAAAAAGTCCCTCCCCAGCTTTCCTGTAGAACCCCTTCAGGAACTGGAAGGCCACAATAAGGTTCCCCCAGAGCCTGCTCTTCACCAGGCTGCTTTTCTCCAGCTATAGCTTCTCTTAAAGAAGGACAGCCTTCCTAAACCCTGCAACTTGAAACATTATAGGGACAGAAAAGAAGATGCATCTTAATGCTTTGGGTAATTCAGCGAACAACGAGCTAAGGCAATCAGGAATTGCATAAATTCTGAAATTCATCAGTTAAACCTCAAAGAACTGAGGCAAAAAAAATTTCTATTACCTTTTCACTAACAAAATACAATGACCTTGTTAAAGTCTCAGTGCCTGTTTATTAACACTTGTAGAGCATGTATTAGACAAGTTTTGACTGCTCAGTCTCCTGCAGAGCAAGATGGAACTGGGGCAAGCAGAAAAACAGCATGGAGGAAAAAAAATGACAGCCTTTTACAGTACAGTGCACCTCTGCTTTCCAAACCAACTTCCACCACAAAGGCACGTCCATCTCAGTACACAGAAGGCTTATGAAACTGAAATAAGATTGCTGACATTCCAGAAAAGTTGAAGAATACACATATGTCTTCACTAGGAAATGATGGATTGCTCTGGACTGTAGTGACATATATAAGAATGTAAGTGAAATATTTATCCCTTCCTCTCACAGGAAAACAGGGTTTGAAAAGCAACTAAAGTAATTTTAACAGTATTAGAAGGCATTGGTCTCTGATGAGGATATAAACACATTTTAAACTTCTTCAAGATTTTCTTTTAGGCAGCATGTGAAGAATATAGCTTCTTGTTTCGGCTAGTCTCACCTCTAGGCAATATCAAGTCCATTTCTCCACTTGCCATAGCAAGTTTTAAAAAAGTAGACACACCTTTAATTTTCCTGCTTTAAAACAGGTAAGCATTCTCCCTAGCATAACTCCGTACACAAGCTTTAAGGTGTTTAAGAAACAATACTACTGTAATTAAAGCAAACCACCACAAAGCAATGAATACAGAGATCCAAGACTTTCATCCTTAGCTCAGTAATTCTGCTAGCACATCGAATGTGTTTTACACCACTTAGGAACCCACCAATACAGATGCCCCCAGTGTCTGAACTGAAAGACAAGGGGCAATGGGAGCAAGCTGGAGCATAGGAGGTTCAACTTGAAGATAAGGAAAAACTTTTTTACTGTAAGGGTCACAGAGCACTGGAACAGGCTGCCCAGAGAGGTTGTGGAGTCTCCTTCTCTGGAGACATTCAAAACCCGCCTGGATGCGTTCCTATGTGACCTAGTCTAGATGATCCTGCTCTGGCAGGGGGGTTGGACTGGATGATCTTTCAAGGTCCCTTCCAACTCCTAATATCCTGTGATTCTACAGTGAGCTCACTCTGTCACTTTCTCATGCCTAATAAATCAAATCTCCTCTGCAAAGATAAAGCAAAACTATCTCACCACCACCAAAAGTACCAGAGATACATGTCTGTACAAGTATCAGGCAGAGCAAGTGGCAAAAAAAAAGGGAATTTTACTCTCTCCTATTGCTTTGCCCGAAGTCCTTTTGGCTCATTTTGTCTTCTTGCAGCCTGATTACAGCACGTGATGTCTTAACCTTGAGTATTACCATGCATTTCTTCTAATGCTTTGTGGACCCTTTTAGAAGTGGGGAGAGATCCCACTTGATGTTTTTACAGATGCTGTTTCAATGGATTAATACCAGGTGCAAATAAAGCCTTTCTATGTGAGGGGAATGAAGGAAAAAAGCAGATGCCTCACAGAAAGAGTTGTTTACTTCTGTAGGTTCGAAAGTGGTGACCCAGCATCAGGTTAGTAATACATACCTCCAAGGCAGACTTCTGTACCGTAATTTGGCTGTAGACTCTTGACCCTTCTGGGCAAACAGTCCTCAGTTCATCTTTATTGAGGGAGAAAAGCTGAGCACCAGTCAGCACGCCAAGGCTATTGACAGTCCTGGGGTCACACCAAGGAAACAAACAAGAAATAAGCAAAAATGCACTAGAGCCAAGGGAGAAAAGTAGGTTGGCTTCATCCCACTTTGTCTCATATAAGGCAAAACTTAATTCAAAAGGATTCCTGAAGACAATTCAGTACCTGTCATAATACCTTTTAGTGGAGGCTAACATATATATTTTGTTTTCCCTAAATACTCTATAGATCTATATACTCTCTATACGGATATATATAGATATATATATATATTATATGCACATATATATACACACACACATATAAGTATATATGTATATGTACGTAAAAACAAATTATTTTTTCCCAAGGATGCAGCTGATGCATCCTGATCTTTAGAAGGCTGCTTGATAATAAAGAGTGGGCATACCACATCCTAGTTACTGATACAAAAATAATTTTAAGAACATTTCTTACATATGCCCTCAAACTTACACAGGATTGAATCCTTTGGACTGCAACCACGCTTTCACATCTTCAGGCGAAGAGTCGTAAGTGATGTTAACTACTGGGATGTTTGGTCGTGGCACGTGGAACTTCCTCTGGGCAGCACTCCGGCCGATGGTGAGCCGATGAACAAGTTCATCCTGCACCTCCTCCATCTGTGATTTCCTGCCTAAAGAGAGATATGCCCCACAGGAGTTATTTCCAAGGGTGCTTTATCAAAGGCAGGTCATTTCTTAAACTCCACTTCAAATCAAACTTTTTTTTTAATTTTCCTTTAAAGATTCATTCACTAGATCTGAATAAGCTATTATTATCTTTCTTCCCCATGGAAGATTTCAGTATTCCTTCTCCTCTATTTGCAAAACAACACAAAAAAAACCCCAAAAACAAACCAAACCAAAAATTCAACTGAGACCCTAAGATGAGGAGATGAGCTTGCTGTCGCATAGAGGCATAGATGAGTCTAACAGTGCCCAAGCTGCAGAAGAAAAGGGGCACGGAGATTTATTCAACTGTCATAGTCTCTGTTTCTTCAAAATAGAAATAAAATGTTTTAAAAATAAAAACAGAAAGGATGTGGAAGAATGTAAGATTGCTTACATTGTGGAATGGCAGCATTTCCCACAGTTTTTAATTGAAAGCTCAACTTCGTAGTGCAAATCAATGTAGGCAAAAAAATTTCACTGCTGCTGACATATATCACCTTACATCAAATAAACTATCAGAGTAAATAAGATTTTTGAAGGGGTTTAAGAAATTTGAGTTCACTCCAAGCCTGGAGTGACTGGTTAGGTGAAACAATGTCACATTTTGCACTAAAAAAAAATAAATTAAAAAAAGTAAAAAAATTAGTTGGTCTCACCAGAGACACAAAGCGGGAAAGACTTTTTTTTATTAAACCAACTGAATATATTTGCTGTCCCACAGAACCTATTTGTCTGAAGCACTTTGTTCAGTTGTTGGTTATTAGTAGGCAACAAACTGAAATGCTTTTCATGCATTTCAAGAAAATCAATTATAATGACACTGACATTTGTTTAAAATGTATATAAAGTGTTCTATGGATAATTTCACAAAAATATGTAGAATCCAAAAAGTGTAAATCTCTTTTTGGACGCAGAGAAGATACTGATTTAGCACATTTAAACTGTCCATGCAGTAACTCTGGAATTACTATAAAAATACTTCAAGTGATGTCAAAAATTCTCAGGATTTCCTTGATGAGTAATTTTTAGTCACCTTTATTCAGCCTTCTCACTTTGATTCACAAACAGTAACCAGAGCACCTTCTCTGATGCACTCAGATGACAAAAGCCATTCCTTTTCTCCCATTACACTGATAGCAACAGAGGAAAACAATACAACTTCAATATGAAAAAACTGTAAGATAGCAAAAATGTTTTTCTTTACTTTCCATTTATCTTTTCCCAAAACCTCTCAAAGGAACAACATCTCTAGCCAGTTAGACAAATAAAAACAAGCTTTACATAGGCTTTCAGGGTTTTTTTAATCACCACAACAAAAAAACAAGAAAAAAAAATCCTTGTTTTAGCCATTTTCTTTTTTCTTTTACAAAATAGCCCCAGGTTGAAAGTGCACAAAATATCTCTAGTAAAATATCTGAGGCATTCAGGCACTATTGCAATACTGTTTTGTTGGGTTTTTTTTTTGTCCCAGAATATGAATCAGAAGTCCAAATGACATGTGCTCAGTGATATGTGAAGGTCTGAGATGGGATATACGAGTAAAGCCTTTAGGCAGTGTTATCAAAGCATGCACCAGTTATTTCCCCAAACAGGAACAGAGTGAGAAAACTGCTATCTTCCCTCTATTTACACAGATTTTGAAAGACTTATGTTTTATCTAGGCCAAGACTATATCAAAATGTAAATATTCAGCTGTCAGATAACAGATTTGTACTGTTAGATGTATTATCGTAAACAAACAAGATACCGTTGGTGTGAAGCAGGTACCGCATCGCATGTTCTCTGCAGGATTCAGGTGGGTACTTGGGCAGCAGGCATGAGGGCAGGGTTACCCATCGCCTTTGCAGAGACAGCTACTCTGTGAGGACTGTGAGGTACCTAAAGCCCATTAACTGGGCTTGAATGACAGCTCCTGGGAGGGCATGGGTGCTCTGGTGCATGATCCAGGGCCTTAGTGGAGGTCGAGAGGGCAACAGATGTTTTGCAAGCACTCACAAGTCTCAGCAACCCTTCACACCTTGTACCTGAAGCCCGGATGGTCTTTATGTTTCCCACCTGTAATGGACAGAGGCCATTCCAGAAAACACACCTGCTATGGCACGCAAAGATCATCTTAAATGGAAATAAAATGATCATTTGTGTGTTTGTGAAGTTCATCTTCACTTCCCACATCTTTTATAACTTCCCGGGTTTGTGTTTACTTAAGTAACAAACTGCCCAAAATAGGACAAAGGCAGCAGCTGGCCCTACTCTTTCTTTGGGAAATGGTGATGAAGCCTGTTCCCCTTGCCAGGCTGTTCTCCATTGATAGTCTCAGCCAGCCAGTCTAATACAAAAAAAAAAAAAAAAAAAAGGTCCCAGAGCCTTCCTGAGTTCAGAGCTTAGGCAAGAGCTTGTCTACCACCATGAAAAGTCAAACCAGGCTCCACCAACTGCATGTGCTTACCCAAGCAGGCATGCTTCCCAACCACTAGAGACAGGAGGCAAAAGAAGCCCTTCTACAGAAAGGATTACAGTCAGTGCCAGTTTCTATCTCAGGTGGAATTAAGGTTTTCTGATAAGGCAGGGAGGCAGAGGATGGGAAAAGCTGTCAACTCTTGAACTGCAAGAAGCTCATTATTTTAACAGCTATTACTTTAATAGCTATAGCAAATGCTTGCCTGCAACTTTCAGATATTTTTAAGCCAAGCAATCACATTGCTTAAAGTGCATTTAGAACAGATATTACTGACTAAATAAGTTCTCCTAACCTAACTTGTTTTTTAGTCGATACAACTGCAGGAGCCTCAGCAGCAGTTAGGCTTTATATTTACGAGGTGGACTTAAGCAGAACTTTCCATGACTGCCACACACTGCTGGATGCAGGCTATCATGCTTTTCCAGATAAAGGGCTATGAAGTACGTTCACTTGTCCTCCTGAAACAAGGACATGGAGGTTTGCTCAGTGGCCTGCCAGCTGCTGCTGCTTTGACCAGGCTAAGGGAAACTGCTTATGAGTCTCCTGCAACACTCTCACAGCATGGTTCCTATACATCAGCCAGACCTGAAAGTCTTCTTGCAAGCCTTGGATACGTGTTTCAGAATGGTGCAAATGCCCTAGAAATATGGATGACAACAAACAGAAGTGTAAAAACAGCCTAACTGATTTTAAAAGCAATTCAGATTGCAATGTGGCAGTGAGTTCAGGTGAAAAACGTACATTAGCCAGAATACCAGCATAAGCATTTACAGTGTTAAAAACCACTGACCCAAAGAGTCAAAACAGGAGAGAATTTAGGACTGGGGCAAGTCCAGAAATGTTTTGTCCCTACTTACCATTATGATTAGCGAAGGTGAGAACACACATACATAGAAAATGTGTATTTTAAACACAGGGTTAAAGCTAAACATTCCATAAACATTTATCTGAAACACAAGGTTTTAAGGAATTTAATGGTTGAGCAAAACATAGGAATGGGAGAAATGCTTTTTTTCTTGCTTCTTAGACAAACTTACGATCCACAGGAACTTGCTTCTGCCTCTGAGTGTCTCGTGCAACACTACCACCGCTGTCGCTCGAGGTGCTGCTTTGGCGGCTGACGGTTGCTGGAGCTTTGGGCACAGGAACCGGTATAGGTGCTGGTGCGCTAGGAGGGAGAGGGACAGCGACAGGGACAGGAGCAGGTGTTGGAGGTGGTGAAGGAGTAGCAGGAACCGGATCAGGTTGTTTTGCAACATAGTCTGTCCTCTGTTTCTGAAAAGAAAGAGAGACTCAGTTTGACAACAAAACTTGAACAAGACATCAGACAAACTCAGGTTTATGTGGAAAACGCCGGGATGCTTTGCACTAACCAATTTCATTTACTGCACAAAGACATCTTACTTGCCAGATATAGTTCCAAAATTTGCCAAAGCTAGATTTGGCATCACTTTTTGGCATCAATTTCCTTCTCTGTCAGACAAAATTCACAGCAATGGCATCATCTGAAACATGCTTCTTTCTTTCAAATAGATGAGTTTTAATTTAAATTGTTTTTAAAACCCAAACTTCTATTACCTGGCACTTTGTAACAGCTTCCAAAATGTTTGAATTGTTGGACTTGATCAGTATAAAAATGTATATGTTAGAGATGTTATGTAAAAAATAGTGAAAAATCAACACATCCAGCCACATTTAAGCCTAACTAATGGTTTAACTTTTAAACTTCACTAAGGTTGGGTTAACATTTGTTTCTTGAACTGCAGATACCATGTAAGAGATTCCTGCTTTTCTTACCCATTCAGTTGTGCCATTTCAACTATTTGTGTGATCACTACATGCCACCTTGATACAGGAGTTCAATTAAAAGCCAAACAACACAAACTTCACTATTTTTTTAATAGGACTATTGTTTTCCCTGCCTCAAGTTTATGCAATGTTCTAACAACATGCAAATTGTCTTCCTGCTAATAACTAACTGGCAGGTGTTTCAAGAATAATTTTTGAGAAATAATTTATTTTCTCCTTCGTTGCCTTTAGAATGGCACCAGTTACAGGAAGAGGCTTATGTTTTCCCAAAGCAATCCCAACAAGCCCAGAAGCTCACATGCAACCTATGCTACCCTTTTCTTGCAAACAGTTCAAACTTCATATCTCTCTGTTTTAACAGTGCTCCCTCTCTGCAGTTTTGGAATAACACAGCTTGAAGGTTAATATTAAAGTTTGTTTGCTCAATAGGGATGCTTCGTTTTGTAGTTATGAGAAGTCTGCTTACTCTGGTATGAAAATAGATGAGTACATTCCCCAGATTCATTGCTCCTTCCTGAAATACCCTTCCCAATTCCCTTGAAGGCAGAGGGTTTATGGCAGATCAAGTAGGGAAATATTTGTAGGAGCTGTATGTTAAACTCTGGGCAGCACACCACTGCCCCGACAACAATCAAACTTTCATTAAATGTCAGCAACTGCCCTTGTACAGGAATCCCCAACTTAGTAAGTCGAACTGATGGACAAGGCCTTTTGTAGTGAAAGCAAACTGGGACTATTATTGCTACGCCATGCTGAGTTATACCAGCAGGAAATTTATACTATCAGCCAGTCAGTTAAATCTAGGAAAAAAGTCTTTTGTTTCCCTTAGATAATTTTTCACTGAAATTGTAGCAGTTCAGCTACTGAAGCAAATATATAGTCTTACAATACATTTCCCATCTAAACTTTTTTTTAATTCCCTTAGCATTTAGTCGTTCAAAGGCATTCGTCTCAACTATTTTGTGTTCACCTTGTGCAGTGCATTGTGGGGGGATTTTTTAAAAAAATCGTATGATTGACTTTTCTGTATTTTGCTACTTCAATTTTGAGACAATAAATGCTTTTTAAAATGCCTAATGCCAAGAAAAGTTAAATGCCTAATATAAAAGAAAAGCACAATAACATATATTTTAGAAACCTGTTCTTTAGGGCAAAGAGTGTGCCCTAGTACTTATATAATAAGTATAACCATGATCTATGTGCTATATCAAAAATATTCTGAATTAATAAAAAAAAATTCAGAGTTATCAAAATGTTTTAATGATATTTAGACTTTTTAAAAAATCTTCACAGATTCCAATTGCTAGACCATTATCCCCACAATGTGCCCTCATGTACGCCTCAACCTTCTTTAACAACATGCAAGGAAAAATCACATTTTTTCTTATGGTACAGAGGATTCATTACAAGTCAAGCCACGTCACCACAATCATAATCCAGAAAAAGCGTTCGCTAAACACTACATGCAGCTTTTAATGGAGGCTGCTGGTATAGGTTCAAAAACATGTTGTACTGCAATCACAAGCCTCATCAAAACTACTTGCTGGAGTGAAAATAAAAATTAAACTGGAAGCATCACTCAAATTCTAAATTTAAAGATGAAACCACATTGAAATGTACTTCAAATTTTGTTGAACAGAGCACAAAAGCCAATTATACATTTGAATCACATTAAACATTTCTTTTTTTAAACACTTCTTTAAAAAAAAAAAAGATCTTTTGAGGACATTCACACATTCATCCCATCACTTCAATTCATCACTACAAACAAAACAAGCATGCACTATGGAATCTGGCTACTGCATAGTTCAAAAGAGTAATTTTGGAAGCTCAATATCAAAAGAGTACTTTTGTTACCTCTGAAAGCTCTCCCAGCAATTGCTGTGAGGAAAATGGAGTAAATCACATCAAACAGTATTGTTAGAAAGGTAAAAAGTAACTGCCTCACACATCAGTCCTGAAATTTCACACACATTAGCAATTTAAAATAAAAGAACATCAGTGATAAAAGTTACCTCTTCTTGCTCACTAAGCAACTCACGTAGTAAGTTATTCCTGTTTTCCTCTTTTGAATAATGAGTGGAGTGTTGGCTACCTCAATATACATATACAGAAACTTAGAAAAAAACAAACAGCTGACAATGGACTAAAGATTGCAAGATGAATGTGGAGAACACTTGCAACTGCAGAACACTAAGAATTAAATCACAGCAGGTATCAAAAAAAAAACCCCAACAAAAAAACCCAAAAAACCAAAAACCCAACAACCCAAAAAAAGGAGCTTATTTATTTTAGCTTAGAAAATGAGGTAAAGGTTGCTGACAGTCATGTACCCGCTAATTTGCTCACAACCATCAGAACAATGAACAATCCTGGTTTGGGCTTATTTCTTTGCAGGTTTTATTTTTTCCTTCTTTTTTCTTTTTTGTTCTGTTAAAAATAAACTTGCAATCATCAACTCATGTAAATTAGAACAAATCCTTTAAATTATTTGGAGTGGTGATGATACACACAATAAAAATCTGGATATATCAGAAAAGCTTGCTGGAACTAAATTTTATTTATTTTCTTTTTTTTTTTGCCAGAAAATCTGTTTTCTAAAGGAAAAAAAAATAGAAGTCCCAAAGTTCTTTTTCAACACAGTACATCTTGTAAAAAAAAAAATCAAGCTTCAGTATGATTTGATCTATTTTTAATGAAAGCAAGACAATACATTTGAGCAAAAGTGCTAACGGTATCAACCCTAATTCTTGATCATTGTAAAAGAATTGGGAACACTATTTTTAAATACATTTTGGCATCAAAATCAGGGAATGTGTGTATTCAAACTATGGCAAGTACAGACTTACCATCAAAGAGGCACTGGATACAACGATAACCAGCATTAGAGCTGGGAAATGCCCTCATTATGTTAACACAGACATGGAACTTCCCACATACTCTTTCTGCACATTTTAGTGTCATGCTCCTGTTTGCTCAGCAACAGAAGTTCATCAAGAGGGCTGCAGAGCATTCAGCCTCAGTTTTGTCAACAGCATTGTGGTTTGATGTTTTCTTGAGACTCACACTGGGAACCTCTCATTTTGAAGCAAGTACCTCCTTCCTTTGGCTATAATTCAAGAGAGAAGAGAGAACCAACTGCTTGTCTACACGCAAAAGGGACAATGAGGCACCCAAGACTGGGAAAGCAAATTTCAAGCAAGGTCTTTCACCAGGGTTTCCTTTGGTGGGCTCAGCTATTATGCAGAGTCAACCAGCTGCCAATTAAAATGCCATCAAAAGGAATCTAACTAGCTCTTTGCAGGGTGTAAGGTATTTATGTTTTTATTGAACTTACAAACCTGCCTTCCTAGAACTAACCAAATCCTTTTTTACAACTATTCACTACATTGGATCCATGTTGAATGGGACAGGAAATAGTTGCAGTTTTTTTTAAAGCCATCAAAAAGTCTTGGTTTTATGTCAACTTTAAACAGCATTTGATATGAAATGAGATAAGAGAGATAATGGCTTTTGGTCAAAAATTATGACATTCATTTGGCCATTGCAAAATGAACACCTGGCAACTGCACTCTTCATTATCAAACACTTCATGATCTGCAGGAAAGATACCAACTGGCAAAAGATGAGCATGACATTATGACACTAACTTGCAGCACAAATGCTGTGCTTGAGGGGAAACAATGTCCCACAGAGATATTTTAAGTAAGATGCTAAACAAAGGGATTTGAAAGAAAGGTTTTGGTGGTAGGTCACCAAGAAATGCAAAGGACACTTGTCCCATATGAGGTGGAGATTGTTGTCTCGGTGTTTACACACCATAAACAATGCCTCTTAGATGTACCGTCACACTTCCGTGGACAGTTGTGTGTTTTTTATGAGACTACCGGACTGCGTTTGGCTTAATATTTACTCTCTGTGCCTCAGGATTTCATACACACCACTGATAATATAACTGTCTCACCTCATAAAGGGTGTCATGAGATTAATTAACATGCCCACCAAGATACACACCTCTATCCTAATTATGTTCCTCAAATTTATTTTTCAAGAGCATTAAAAAAATTTAATAAAATGCACAGTAATAGGAAATACTATGCTTAATTATTTTCTATGTTCATGACAGTGCTTGTACAAAAGAAGAAATCAGAGTGCTTGGAAAACTGTTTATGTTCATTTATATGGTGAAGTACCACTGTTGGTTCATAATAAAAAGGCAGACTAAACCACCACCACCACAGGAAGCTCTGAAAATCAATAATTTACATTAGTGGAAAACACAAATAATCAGCAAAATGCTCTCCTAAATGTACAAAAATATCAAATGAGCAAAACCACAGTTTTCCTGGAACTAATTCAACTGACCAGAAGAAAGACTATGTTACAGCCTCTGACTCGCAAAGATGATGAAATAACTAAGACATTGTCTGCAATGTTCCTGCCAGTATAATTTTAGAAAATTCAGTGCTTTCAAGTAACTATGTGAATTGGGATCTGGATCCTGAAAGGGACCATGAGAAAAATCAGGACCTGATCTAGTGTGTCGACTCATAGATCACTAGGAGAGAGAACGGAGAGAAAGTAAAATCAACTTTGCAGCTCTGAGAATAATAGTGATAATGAGGCATCCACCTTTCAGAGAAAGGGTGTCCATCTGTAGAATAACTGAATGAAAAAAAATTATCTCTTTCAGTGGAATCCTTAATCCTTCCTAATAATCTGGAAACAACTTTTGGTCTGTTGTGGTTTGAAGGCCATTTGTCCATAAACAAACAATCTAACCTTGTACCTAACACTTATTTGTGGCTTGAAGCTGACCAGGGTGCTCACCACAGTCAACAGACTACTTTGAAAACAGCCTTTTGAAAACCAAAGACAATTTAGGAGACTGGCAAAAGCTGCACAGCACCAGGCACTGACCCTGCTCGTGGTCAGGGACTGGCAAAGGCACTGGAAGGAACTGCTTCGATTTCCTGCTCTACCCACAAGTTCTCCTGTTTGACCTTGGGAAAGCCAGTCATCCCTTCAATGCCTCATTTCTCTCTGAAATAGCAGCAAAGCACTGTTATGAAAATAAATAAGATTATGCAAACAGACCCCAAATGAACCATGTATCTATCACAGGGAAAGACACAAATGAGCACGCTCAGGAGTGCTGCAGTGATAATAATCACCATAAAGTTAGGAAAAAACACATCTTGGTAAAGACTCCTTTTATCTTGTGTAATTCATTATACTCCTACATAATTTCACAGTATTTCAAGCTCACATTTGAATATGATAAAGCTACAAACAAAACAAATCATGGACTGTAGGGAACAACTTGCCAGAAGGCAAAGAATCAAAATTATATTAACTGTTGTTCTCTGACCCTAATTTTCATAGTTCCATAGAGAATGTGTTGTGAAAATTATTATTTTATTTCCCACGTTATGTCATTATTTCAAACACAAAACTTCAAAACCTGCAGTGCATTACAAAGAATAGCGTAAGAACCTCTACTCAAAACTGTACTTTGTTCAGGATTTCCTGGCAAATTGCAAAAACACAAAATGTCATGCCCTTGAAATAAAATAAAAAAACAAGTCAGATCTTTAAATCAGGATTCAAAAAGCACTCTAGATGCATGCTTCATTTCACAGACAGGCAAAAATCATATTCAATTTAGAATGAGCTCATACATTATAGGCAAACAATTTGGGATAGGAAAAACTCAGAAATTGTCTGATTCAAGCCCACCAAGCTCAAAACAGGTCTACCACATTATTGTGCCAGAAATAGCATAGGACCTGCTTCTCAAGAGATTTTCTATATCCATGGGAAAACTGGAAACACTGCAAAAGCTGCAGCTTCCACTATAGTTGTGCACACAGAATCTGGCGCAGCAACACCTCTGACTGGGGCTTTTAGACGAGTCTGCAACGGAGACAGTCAACAGTAACATTGTGGCATTTCTCATTTTTCAGTCATCAGCTGAAGGATTTAGTCACAAGGAATGAATATTAAATTTAATTTAATTTAGCTGAGTTTCAACAGAAGTTTCGTTCGCATTTGGACTGAAAAAGTTTGGTTCAGAGGCAGGCCTGGAATTTCTGCTTAATCCAAACTTGTTTGCCTAACCTTTCAAAATTGTTAGATACACAAGAGAAGAAATAGGTCTTAGAAAATATAATCTCTTATTTTATGAGCCTCCGATCCACCTAAATGTTGTCTAAAAATACACATTATAACTTTATCCTATACATCCTTGGACAATTGCACTGATGTAAGGTGTTTTTTAAAAATATTTTATCCTCTAATTCTATTCAACATAAGAGAAACATAAACAACAGAAAAATACTAATTCCACACCACAACATGAAAGAAAGAAAACCAAAATTAGGTCAGGAAAATAGAGTGCCATTGATGCACAGGCATAGTAATTGAAAAATACTTGATTTGTGAATTTAAAAGCAAAGACACCTATTTTTTTTATGACTCAAAAATGACAATAATTAAATAAATTCAAGACTAAGACAGAGACAAAAAGAGACAGAAAATAAAAAGAAAAGCTAGCATTCACTCACCTAGGAGAAACAAAGATGACCCTACCTTAAATAATTCAAACTCCTTCTTTGGCATCAACAGCTATCAATCCACAAAGGATATTTGCAATTAAAATAAATGCATACACATCCATTAGGATTGAAATTACTACCTCTAAGCAAATAAACAGAAGAAAACCCCAAAAAACCCCAAACTTAAAGTAAACCATTTTGCTGTATCTCTAGCAATTTTATTCTCATGTTAGACTTCATGCAATACAGACATTAGCCTCAGCCTGTAGAAGAAATACAGATCTTTTGGCATTAGTGGAATATGCAGATATTTTAGCCTTGCTGTGAATCTCTTCCTCTTCCACACGCATAAATGCACACTTAAAAAAAAAAGTTTGCTCCCAAGGAGCAGACAGTACCTGGATGGTGCGGGTATACGCAGGCTCTGACCATCCCAGACCACCTTCTTGATTCCTCAGAGGGTCCAAAATGTTGTTTGGCACAAAACCTGTGCTGCCACTTTTATTCTGAACCTTCCACCACTGCTTTCTGTCATCGAGAATCTGAAATAATTAAATTAATTATGTATTATTTTCTGAAATTTCTCCGGCCAGTAAGTAGACTGTGCATCATTTCAAAACAAAACCACAACTTTGCCAGGTTCTGCAATTGCCAACAGATCTCACACAGATGTCCCTGTAGGCTTCCTTGATTATCACCATCATTAATTCTACATGCTAGTACTGCGCTTTTCAAAATGTGGGTCTCAAGAAAGGATATAGAAGAGAAGTATGTCATGAACCTCCGTAAACTCAGACATTCACCGGACAAGACAGCAGATGAAAATCAAGTATTCACACAGAGAGGCTGGGATCTCTGCAGCCCATACCTGGTTGACAAAATAAATAACTGCTAACAACCCAAGGAAAAGTGCATTGTTCTAGGAGAGCACAAATTTAGATAAAGAGCACTTCAGAGTAAACAGGGAACTGGAGCAGGATGGCCAGGAGAAATCAGAAATCTAACTACCTGCCGTGCAATCTCATAGAAAACATTTTCTCTCTTTGTTGCTCCCTCCCTTCCAAATGTCTTTAGCTTTCAGTGTACCAACTCTTCCAGGAAAGGACTGTCTTTCACTACAGCCTGTGCATACACAGGTAATGTTTGTCAGAGACAGTTATTTAAATACTACTAAATGAGGTTTTTAAAAGCAACACCAGAGAAGACGTAAGTCTATATTTCTAGCATGGATCTCTACGGCATCAATTCATAAGTCAGCACAGAATCTCTGTTTATCTTGTCTATCATGCAAAACAAATAATTGAACTTTCCATATTAAGGGACATAAATCAAACCAACTGAAGTAATTACTAAGAACAGACTCACTGTCCACAGTTGAAAGGTACTCACAGCTTTGACTAGTACCAGAAATTCATGTTTTCTCTTTGAAAAAAACAAACAAAAACCAAACCAAACAAATATTACCTCTACAATCTCTTCTTTCATGACAGAAAGCTCACTGTTGTTTCTTGCCATAAATTCATACTTGCATTTGGCATATTTCTTGGTCTGTGCTTTACTGTGTGCTTCATAGTTTCTGCAAGGTGAAGATCAGACTATTGTTAGAGAGACAGGCAAATAAAAACACAGACAAAATGCACTCTTCCAACAACCTGTAAAACATTTAAACAAAAGAAACCTACTCCACCATAACATGATGCTGATGTAGAACTACCTATTCATAACACACTAATTTAAGTGCCAAAAAAAAAAAAAAAAGGAAAGAAAGAGGCGGTTGAGCTACATGGACCTCAAGAATCACTAATCTTTATCAGCTCACTGCTTGCAAGATGCATAACAACTTAGATTAGCAGGTGCCATTGTTTTAAAATAAACACGTTCATTATATTTAGTTTGTTTTCCTACAGTAGGTTAAACAACCATTTGTCATATAAACAAATGACTATACTTAGTATATAATTGACACCTTGTCCTTCATATGAAACTGTATTTCTAATATTCATTACAAATTGTTTTAAATGCATAAAAGATTAATACATTTTTGCTATCAATACCAATAGAATTAAACTCTAAAAAATGCTCACCTACTGTAGATCAGTTTTCTTAACTAACCATAAGATACCATCAACTCTTAATCTCAATCAAAAATGTAAAATAACTTTCTGGCAATTACAAACAGGGTTCATTGTAGAACAGGGCATACCACTGTTTAGCTCTGTGTCTTTCTGTTTCTATGAGGAAAAATCTTACCCAGAATGCATTTGTGTGAGAAGCTATTAGCTTCTTTGATGTAGTACCTCATCAGGGTGAGAAGCCGCCCAGGCCCCTCAAGACAGGTGCAAAGGAAACAGCAACATCATTCAATTACTGCAAATTACACCAAACAACCTAAATCCATTCCAGGTTGTACAGTTAAAAAAAAAACAAAACTAAAACCAAACAGATAATGAAAATGTGAAGCAATCAATAGCTTGAAATGCTGCACACAATATCACAGCACAAGGATATGAACACAAGTGGTTGCTGATGATGGTGCTGTGTAATTGCGGGTCCTAGGTGTGCTTGAGCTATCCAGTAGTTACCTGGCTATTGCATGGCTGTGGAGAACTGTCTCACTTGACTTGAAGAGCAGAACAAAGGAAGAGTCATATTTAGGTTGGAAGATTATTTTGAAAGAGAGACCAAACACTGAAAGTGTTTAAGGAGAGAGGGAAAAACATGGGATGAACCCCAGCCTCCAGAATAGTTGTTATGAGGTTGAAAGATGTGTGAGTAATCCTGTTTTTTTCTGCCACTCACTCTAAATTAATAGAATTTTTAACTTCTTTCTTACTATTTAAGGGACATGACTAATGTACCTCTGAAAGTACTTCTAGACTGCCTTCCCAAACCAATTTCACGAACAGCATCTTCCTACCTTGTCCACACCTAACTATCCCTGATCTCTTCAAAAAACAACTCTAGATTTCAAAAAATGCTTATGTTTCAGTTTCACTCCACTCTGTTGCAGCATCCCCAGAACATGGGCTGGTCAGTGGCTGTACACTTCTGAACAGACCATAACTCAAGTTCAGCTCAATGAGCCAAACAGTTTACTTGGGGCACAACATTCTCATCGCTTCCTTTCCTCCATCCTCTCCTGTGTTTTCTTATTGCCCGTCGAATACACTACAACTGCAGCTCTCTGCATGCTGAATGAGAGCCTTGAGAATTGCAGACTTTCAGGGTGCTACTCCACAAGTGACAGCACAAAACTAAGCTACACATTGAACTATCATGGAACACCCCACAACTTGCTGAAAAACTCCTCAGTGCTCTTTCAGGATCGGTGAGAATCTCAACAGAACTAATATCATGCTGAAAGTTTAAGATCCTGACAGTTTACGTCACCTAAGGAAAGCACACCTTACAGGAGGTCCTGGCATGTTGGAATAGGGCTCACTGAAGTTCCTTGTGATTAAAATGTTCATGGATAAGGTGTAAACTACCTGTCTCTCAGAAGGTAGTGGGTGGCTCAGTCACTGCTTTCTGATCATTCATTAGGAATGCCAGCTTTGAACAAGGACCAGCAAAGAGTGGCTGAAAGGGTCAGCTTGAATTTCTCACTCCCTCTCCCAAACCCACTCCTTCACCTGCTTCACAGATGTTTTAAAATTTATCTTTAAATGGAAATTACTTGGGGTGATACATATTATCAACTTCCCCTCAATAAGGAGCTCCTACCAGGTGTGTATTACATGTCTCAAGAGTCAATAAACAAAGGGAAGTTTGTGTCATGTTGAACAGACTGGGAGATAGAGGCACTCTGCGGATGTTTGCATCAGTACCAGCCATCTAGTCTCCCTCCTGCAATCAGTGGTGAGAAACAGACACCACTGCAACATGTCTCACTTCATGTCTTTCAAAAGATTCATTTCATCTTACATGAACTGCTTCTTGGAAACACCCATTTCTCTTTACCCGCCACAAAGGAGGTTTGGATGACTCTTTCAGTTGCAGTCAGATAACACTGATATCATCAATAGTTCAATGCCATAAGCCCCATTCTCTAAACCAGAAATGGAGGCAACAACATTTGCATGGAATACTCTTAGTCTGAAAGAACAAAACAGGTCTTATCATATTACAGATAAGAAAGAAAGGAATTTAGCATACAGATCATTTAGATTTCAAACTGACTAGTCCTGAGACAAGAACCCAGAAAGCAAGAAAGTTTGAGAAAAAGATTGGAGATGACTACTACCACTTTGTTGTTATGAAGAATAAATCCAAAGTTCAGGAAAATAACCAAGTTTTTACTCTGCACAACACCTGGGAATATGTTTGCATGCAGGTTAACAGGATCTTTTAGCACATAGCTCAGAACTAGGGATTATGCAAAGGCTTTAGAATTATACTAATGTTGATTTAATCACCAATTTGATCCCAAAAACTTAAACATCTTCCATGGCACATACGCTAAAATACTTTTCCTGTGGTATATATGGACTACAATCTGGCAAGAGGGAGCAATTCCAACACTGCTTTACTGATTTACATCCACACTTTGTACTGGTATAAATTCTCCCCACAGACAAGGCCGAGACTCCAAGGATCACTGCATTTGATCTTGTGAAGCTATTCGGTTTTTGGTTAAAATGAAGGGGATGAAAGAGGATGTGCAAAAAGACACTGATTGCTATGCAAACATTTCTGAGCATTTTTTGTAACATTTGAAAGAGAACAGAAGAAATGAGGAGTTACTATTCTCAAAGTGGACACTTATGCACCAGCCCAGAAAATGAAAAGTAGGACAATATGGAGCACAAAGTGAGCAGCTACACAAATCAAACAATGATTCAAAACAAAGACAGATGAATTTTAGAGCAGACTTATCATTCTTTGTAGTTCTGAAAAGAGCAAAGAGTATATTTAAAAACATGAACAAAGCAGAAATAAAATTTGAACCCAAATAGGAGGATTCTGTCTTCTCAATAGGCTTGGAATTCCACTGTATCATTTTTGACAAAAGCACTGATTTAACAGCATACATAAACAGGGCAGTTTCATAAAAGTTATAGTAAAAGAGTCTCAATGATGTGCCTTAGAGAAGCAAAAGCAGAATACCCACTGCTAACCAGAATTGCTTCCTCACAGAAATAATGATCTGCTCCAGACACAACCAGAGGTAATTACAGACACCGCCACCCCAAGAGCAGTAAGTTGGGACAGTTATCCACAGCACCACGTATGCCGTTGATTCAGGGTTACCTATCTACATGTCGGCTAACAGTTTGCTTAAAGGCAGCAACAGCCGCCCCCTGGTCCAGCAGAGGCCCTCTTTTGTAAACTGTGTTACTGAATGCATACCCATCCGATGGAGGGTAGTCGGGAACACCGGGAGGCTGGAAGACAAAAAAGAAACAAAAGCACAAAGTGGGTTAGTGTCAGCAGCGGCACTGCCTGGTTCACTTAATCCCACACCCCCAGGGTCCCTGTCAGCATTCACACGTCCTCAGGTGCTCACTGTTCTGCTATGAAAAGTTAATAACTTCTGCATTTCAAATACATAAACAGGGAGATCAAAAGGATACGAATAAAAGAATTTCTATCCTAAGTCACCCTGCTGCATTAATATTGCAGTGGATATTCTTTAGAAAAACAGTTCTCTGGGGCAAGGTCCATGTCACCTCTCAGGTATCACTACAGCAGCACAACTTATAACAATGGTTGAATGCCTTTAAAATAAACTGCACTGAGAAACAGCTTCGAACTTTTGTTCTGGATGTACACTGAAAGCCAGAAACCTCTAGCTAGCTAATAGTAAGTCTGGATAAGAAATAACACCTTCCAAGTAAAACTGTCACTCTACTGCAGGATCATAATATCAAGTGGCTCATTTATGTCTCCCTCTTACTGAACATGACTATAGTCACAGAAGAAATGCAAAAAGGAATGTGATAGTTGGTGTAATTAATGATTTTAATTAAGGAAAAGAATCATAATTTATCACAAGCACATATATAAGAATGTTCAAGGCTTTAGAAAATTCTTTTTAAACAGCAATTCCTTAAAAAAAACAACAAAAAAACCCAACCACCTGAAATCCAGCAATGCTAACTCTGCTTCAAACTAAGACTTATTTTAACCACCTTCCCCCAAAACAAAATCAAGATAAGCAGTTCATTTCTGGAGATTACGATATTGAAATTGCAGATCCTACATCTTCTCTTTACACCACCATCCTGTTGCACAAGTTAGAACAGCTGAGATTCATCATAAATTGCCCAATCTCTAAACCTGGTTTATTGGTTCTTTCTTTTTTGGTGGTGTTTGTTTAATTTCTGCCTGCGTGGCTACAGAAAAGCCACTCATCTAATTTCTACCCCAATTACGTAACCTGGTATCCAGAGACACTTGCCTATTGGGCTGAGGGTTTACGAAAAGAAATCAAAACTCCATAAAAACCCTCATACACACACAATATTCTTTAAAACTATATTAGGAACTCTTTAAAAAAAATAATCTCAAGTGTCACCTAGCTTATACCTTACATGAAAAGACACCTAGGAAGCAGGAACTCATGTTACTTCACACACAAATTACTTGCATCGCCTTGGCCTCACTGGACTCTCTACCACCAGTTTCCCATTTCTTCACTGCCATTTGAAGTCCTCATTGCTGAACTGACTCCATCTTGACACCCCTCCAGTGGGAGCTGTGTATGTGGCTACATTTTAAGACGTAGGAATGGTAAGAAACAAAAAAAGGATTCTCATGAGTGGGAACCTCCAATGCACTTTGCCAGATGCTGGAGCAGTCCCTGCCCAGCAGGGAGCACAGCCACATGCACCCCCTTCTCCACTCCCAGCACGGCACAGCTCTCGACATGCAGCCTCTGTCCGGGGGAGAGCAACATCACACCGAGACATGACACCACTTAACAGCATGAAATGAACAATTAAATGCTCATTTTTCCAGCACCCTTTGTTAAAGAGATTGTTATGACTTATGAAAGAATAATTATTTTGGTATCACCCACTCTAGGGCAGTCCTTTTGCCGCAGACAAAAAGCGTTTTGCACTCATGCAGCTTTTTCCAGCTGAGGACCTACAGCATTTCACAGCTGTTAAGCAGCTCCATGCTTTTCCCCCTAGAGATGTGCTGAGGTGGCACCGGTGCAGGGAGCCAAGGTACCAAGGTTAAATGACTGGCCGAAGACCACATGCAAATCAGCAACAGGTCATGAAACTAAGGACTGCCATCCCAAGTGCCAGGCACACAAATGCCTAGAGTGAACTAGGATTTATTTATTTATTTTTTGTCTTTTAAAGATTAAGACAAAGATGCTAAGTCAGCACAGACATTTACCAATCTAACCAACATTAGCACCACCAAAAAGTATGAAATCAACTCCATGAAACACAAGCAATCAAAATCCCTCAATGTATTTTTCCTCCCCAAATTTGTTATATTTATACATATATATATATGTATAAATATATTAAAAAAATACAAAAATAATAAATTAAATTCTTAAAAACATAAGAGAAAAATTAATGCTTTTCTTTTTGAATACTTAAAAAAAATAATTAGGAGTACAATGTAAACAAAAAAGTCTGTATGGAAATGTAAAGCAGCAACGAAATGCTGAGACAATCTTTGATAAAGCTTTTTGGGAGATGACTAGGGAAGAGGGTGACAGCAATGACAACAGCTACATTTCACATTACTGTGGCCATTAACTTTACTAAATGCTTTTTAGCTCAAAAGTAATCACAGGCAATAAATTAGCTCTTGGTGCATTTATTCTTGTATATCTTGTTAGGCATACAGCCAAACAGTGTTTTAAGTAATCAGCTATGTACCATGTTATCCTCCTCTTATTTGCAGACTTACTAGTTTGTCTCTGTAGCTAAGACCATCTCTTTGGGTTTTTCTGACTAAGAGATTTTAACAAAAGCAAAGTTTTATTGTGACAAGCTTTCCATGAGCAGTTTTGATTAATTTTTGCTGGGGAAGCCTTGTTTTCTCCAATAAGAGAGTCACTCTTCAAGAAAAAACCATCCTACAGCAGCCAATAAACAGTATATTATTAACTCTGCTGTACCTGCCTAAGACTGAGCATGCATCTCCTACATCTAGGACAAACACCCTAACCATAGAAATATTCTGAACGTTGGTTGTTTTCATAATGTAAGTTCCATGAGATTGAAACGGCTTTTCCTTCTTAGTTTTAGCCATCTCCAGGCTCTGTCCCTGTGCAGATGCTCAGGACCCCCCAGCACAGGGGTGAAGTAACAGGTGCCTCTCCTACTGCAGAAGGGGAAAGGACAGATGCTACCTCCACAGGCAAATGCTACCTCCCTATCGATAGGACCTGAAAGCACACGTCAAGAATCATACTGAACCACAGGGGCTTGGACTTTGCTCCCAAATAAGGCTGGAAAGTGCACCAAGTTCAAGGTGTGCAGTAGGCAAAAGTCTCATATTTTTTTCCTAATCACATTTTTGGCGGTTGAACAAGTATTTGGTTTCACATAACTTCAATATAAGTATACTGAACTTGTACTGACACAGCAGACATCGGAGTATGGTTACTCCAACAACGTCACAGAGTATTTTCTTTATTAAGGAAGCAGTTGGTGTTGCCTTCAGTAAATTTACAAAAGCAAGTAACCTACCTCAGTTGACAGTCTTTTCATTTCTTGCTTCCGCTGTTGCTCTGCAACATTTGCCACGGACTCAGCCAAATGATTGAGTTCTTGCTCCCTTGGAGCTCCTGCGAAGTTCAGCAAAGGAGGCTCCCAACCATTTCGGAAACGGGGGACATAAGGTGGAATAAAATGGTCTTTGGGCCAGTCCGCTCTGTATGAAAAGTAAATTAGAGATCTGTATCAAGGGCCATAAAAATATTGGTTTAATAGGTTTCATAAAAATAGAAATGTTTTAGAATTTTTAATAGCATGGAGGAGAGGCTGAGATTACAGTACAGGCAGAATTGTGCTGGAACACGGAAAATGTTCAGAAAACATTTATTGACCACAACTAGGCTCCCTGCTGTGCCCCACAGAAAGAAACTGCTCCTGCTGTAAGGACTTGACAGCAGTAAAACACAACAAACTTCTGTCTTGTAGCAAAGGATGAGTAACAGGAGAATCGATCACAAACAAATCTAGGATTTGTTTTAACCATTATTTGGAGAAAAATATTGCAACGCTGTTTGTGTGAAAGCACCAGACAAAAGACTTCAAAAGAAACAGCCTGCTTTATAAGAAAGTCTGAAAGCAGGTATGAAGCATGGAAGCTTAGGGGGCCTAGCTACACCTAAAACAAAAAGTCAAACAATAGATTTAACTGACAAAAAACATGCTCCAAGACACAAGAATTATCATCACATTTGCAGTTTTATAGTCCAGATTGATCTTCTTAAAGTACTGTACTACTTTTCAGAGCTCCATTAGCATTTGCTATTGTAATACAAAATACCTAAATTAACACTTTCATGCTCTGCTTTTGCACTATGCATAACACACTCTCCCACAATATTAATTACTGTATCTTCACAGTGGAAGCAGAAATGTGAATGTACATTAAAGTCTTTTAATGGCCTCATTGTTGATAGTGCTCAGAATGAAGGGACAAACTGCCAGTCACAAGTTGCAGGAGCAGGCAGCAATTGCTCATCCATCAGCAGGTAGTAACCCTTGAGTTCTACCATTCACCTCTTCTGCTACACCATACCACGACAGTACACCAAGGTGTACTTTCTGGATACTGAGATCAATAATTTCTAATCTGCCCATGTGAACCAGCTCTATTCTAAGCGCTTCATTCTTCTCTGCCCAACATGAGCTACTTCCCTCAGTTCAAGAAGGACACGGAATTGCTTGAAAGAGTCCAGCGCAGAGCCACAAAGATGATTGAGGGAGTGGAGCATCTCCCTTATGAGGAGTGGCTGAGGGAGCTGGGTCTCTTTAGCTTGGAGAAGAGGAGACTGAGGGGTGACCTCATTAACGATTATAAATTTGTAAAGGGCGAGTGTCAGGAGGAAGGAGCCAGGCTCTTCTCTCTGATGTCAAATGATAGGACAAGGAGCAATGGGTGCAAGCTGGAACACAGGAGGTTTAATGTGAACATGAGGAAAAATTTTTTTACTGTAAGGGTGACAGAGCACTAGAACAGGCTGCCCAGAGAGGTTGTGGAGTCTCCTTCTCTGGAGACATTCAAGACCCACCTGGATGCGCTCCTGTGTGACCTTTTCTAGGTAATCCTGCTCTGGCAGGGGGGTTGGACTGGATGATCTTTCAAGGTCCCTTCCAACTCCTAATATTCTGTGATTCTTTCCCCTAATTTTTTTTCAGGATGGACCAAACGAATGATGATGGTAGTTCCCAAGACAAAGAGCCCATTATTTTACCCAGTGATCCATTTTTATCTGTACAAGGCTCCAATGCTATGAAGCAATTTCCACTGCCAGCCCCACCGCAGGCTGCTATGAAGCCAGCAGAGCTTGAAGCAGGTAAAGGGAAGCAGATGGTGCTTTGCTGGGCTAAACTCTCTGGCAATCACATGGAGCTGCAATTCCTATTTCCAGCTCATTTTGTAGGAGCAGGCCAAATCATAGGCCCAAAGGATGAATTTGGACATCCTTGATCTCACTCTGCTGCAAGACCAGGAAAGTGAAAGACCTGTGTGTCACTCTTCTTACTCCAAGCATGTTTGTCTCTCCATGCTCTAGGGCTTTCCATGCAGCCTTCCTTACCAGCAAAACACTCAACTGCTTTTTAATCAATTGATTAATTAATTAAAGAAATCTGCTTCATAGATGTTTATGTTACAACTTGAAATCTAAGAGCAAGGATGAATAAACATAAAATACATCATGCATTTTCAGCTCAAGTGATTGCATACTTAATCATCATCAAATGTACTTACCTACTACAAATTACAGAGTTTAAACACAATTTAAGCTTTTTCTTTTGCATGTTCTATTTACCTAAGTAATTTCAAGCCATATACTTATCTCAAAAACAACAAATGCATAAAATAGTTAATTTTTAGCTAAGCATAACCATAATAGTGAATCCAATAAGTGCAACATGTACGGTATGCACATGCAATATGTCTCAGCCAACAGACACTGTTTAAAAATTATAAGCATTTTCTTTATAGCATTATGACGTTTTTGAAGGAGTAAAGTCATTGTAAATTTTTAGCTTTTGATAATTATTGGAAATTGAAAGTAGAAATCTGAATCCTGTTCTTCAATGTTTTGTTACTTTTTATTGCAACTTCTTCAAATTGATTTTTAATGAAGTCCAGATAGCTGGGTTGAAAAAATAATGGTGAGAAACAACTGGAAACATGCAAGGGACAGTTCAGAAAAAAATGACTGCAAGATGTTATGTCAAGAGATTCTTGATACCACGGAGAAATAAAAAAATGTCTGTCTGCATTTTCTCTCTCCTTGAGACCCCTAAAAATCAAACCACTCCCAAATCCCACTGAGACTAAAGAGTTCCTTTCCAAAAACTTCAAGGAACATATCTGAAGAGTCCAAAGTCTAATAAATTAATATTGAGTTTATTATAGGGATGGATAACCTAGTTAAGATTGCGTCAGTAAACTTGAGTTTAGAGATCATCTCTCAAACATGTAAAGGCTTTTTCTCACCTGGCTTTGGTCCATGTGTCACCCAATGACATCCATAACTGTCCTTCCTCACTGGTGACAGTATATCGCAGGAAATCTATAGTATCTTTTGTTAAGAGGGGGCTGAGTACTGTACTAGCAAGCTCCGGACCTCCTGTTGTCTGTACGACCTAAATCCAAGTATTAAAATAATACAAAGAACATACACATTGTCAGTAAGGAAGTTACTGTGAATATAAGTTACCTACAGTGCTGCTAGGAAACATTTATTACTTACAAAAACATCCTCCCCCGAAAAAACTCTGAGAAGCTAACAATGTGTCTAAATGTCCTACAGATTAACTAAACCATTTATTGCAGAACTGCTGTTCTGGTCACCAACCATTTTATATTTAGACCCACTTTTGGCAATGTTATTTTTCTTCTAATGATCAAAACCACACATACTTCCATTAAATATGGCTATGCTTTCAACTCTCCTGTATTATGTAAATGATCTCAATTTTCTATTGTTAATTAAAAATTATAATGACAAACTGTAACACACAAAGCTAAAGATTATTTAAATAAATATATTTAATAGATGGAAATATACACAGAAAAGGATAGAAATTATTTTCTACAGATAACCTCATTCTGAGATACACAGATTTCTCCTCATTTCTCCTTAGTTATTGTCCAGGGACACAACATTTCAACCTTGTTATCCTTGAAAAGGTTACAGAGCATATAAATATATGAATTCTGAAGGAAAACACTGAGAAAATTATAAAACCTTACCATATTTAGTGGAGTAAACAGAAAATGAACCAGTTCAGCTGCACTAGGATTCTGGATATGGTACTTTAATTTGGCCTGAAAGGATGGGAAAATGATACATTTTAATAAATATTTAACTTTTATGAAAATAAATACTTCACATATGAATGGCCATCCCTGGTCAGGCCATGTGTCCACCTAAGACCAATGTTTTGTCTGCAATACCTGCTAAGTGCAAGTGCTTATTCATGCAACTGCTTTTGAATCCTTGTGTCTCTTTAGAGCCTATTGTGAAACACAAGAAGTTCTGCAACTGAATTACATGCTTTGCAAAACAGCATCTCCTTTGGAAATTGGCCACCTCTTAGTTTCATTAGTATTCTGTAGATTTTTTCCAAATGAAAACTGAGCAATACTTCTCCTCTTGCTTATCCCAGTGATGTTCATAACCATTTACAGATTTATTATATTGTTCCTCTTTTTGGTCTTTTCCAAGCTAAAGTAATTAATTCAAGCATTCTTGTCTTCCTTGTACCTTCTTCAATTTTGCTACACTGGGAACAAAATACAGCCAGGGAACGTAACAGCATATTGATGCTCTTTATTTGTTAATTTTCTAATGGTTCTTAACATTTGCTTGATTGATCACTGTTGAACACAGACAATGTTCTCACAGGCATTTGTATTACATTGACATTTTACTCTGATCTGTTTCACACATGAGATTTTTTCCCCACCTGTCCATGACTATCATATCTATCAATATTGAATTTCATCTATCACTTCATCTGCTATCATGAGATATTTCTACATTTGTTGACTCTACACTCCCCATTTCCCAGAACACTGTAAATATGTTGAACAGCAAAGGCCCCTGCAGTGGCATGTGTGGGACTTCACTGGTGAATCTACTGTAATTTGAGAACTAGAATTTTAGTCCTATAATTTGTTTACTATTTCACCAAACAAGAATCTAAGAAGCTACATTCAACCTCAGTAGCTTCTTAGTTCAGTTTCTTTAAGAACTTAAGAATTCCAACCTTGCTGAATGTGTTTTGGAAATTCAAGGAAACAAAATCAAAGAACTGATGGATTTGCAGACATTATTTTGTTTAGCAAGATGAATGTTTCCTTCTTTCTCAACTTAAGATACCTGCCTACAAACTGCAACCCATGTGCGGGTACCTCATGGGTACCTGCTTGTTGTAGTCCCTCATATCCTTGGAATGATTTTAAAGATGATCATCATCACTTCTCTTCCTCTGGAAGGAAGGTTGTTTGAGAGAGGTTACACACCATGCTGTGTGGTTTGCTGACAATTTTTGGAATAGATAGATCAACAGTGTCCATTCAAACAGGGCTGCTACTCTTCTGCTTGTAGCTTGCAATTTTGATTTGCTGTTCTTTAAACCATTACCAGTTCTTCAATCTGAAACAGGTATTTTCTTGTACCCTCTCCCCCCCAGAAAAAAAAAACAGTTTTCATGAACATACTGTCCACTATCAAGCTTTTCCAAGTACATATATGCATTAACAAAACCCATATACTTTCTCTGATGTTGCTTCTTAGAAGATTTCTTTTATTTAGTGATCACCTGCTGGCCCTGCAGGCTCCAGAAGTAAGAAGCACCCAAGAATGTGTTTCTAAAAGTTATAGTAGTTTTTATTGCATCTTGCCACCCATTCCTGAAGCTGCTTTTGGCTAGCCTCATTCTACTTTTACATCTAGCCTTCCAGAGTGTGCCTTCAAATGAAGAAAGGAGGAGGATGTGTTTTTACTTTTAATAACTTCCTATACATTGTTCTCCAGTCATAACAACTTACTTTGGGCCCTTCTAAAGTTTTTTTGACACCTAGTAGGCATTTTCTAGGAGCTTCCAGTAGTGTTGTAAAACAGTTTCCATTCTACTGGCAAAGATTTTATTCTTCTAGTTACTCCTTGTTAAAAAAAAACAAACAACCTAGATTCTTCATTTCATACAGTTCTCCATATCTGACAAAGCACCAGGAAGTGAAATTTCAGGCTTTTGTGGCTCCTGCAATGATGCTGAAGTAAAGCACTCTTACAGCACAGCTCTTCAAGAGCAACATTAGAAACCAGGTCCTAGACGCTGCTGAGCGCCAAAACAAGAGCCGTTTCTTCTCCTGCACAGAAGATAAAGATTCAAAAGATGCACATGCCATTCTTGAGTGGAAAAACTAATTTAAATGCAGAACACAGTAAGAAGTAAGAATGAAAAAAAAATGAACATTACAAGCACTATTACTGAGAAGGATCAGCATGTTCGAAGACATCTGCCCTCTCCTTGCCACCAACAGCAATCTTTTAAGGTCAGATTCACAGCACTCAACATAGGGTTTTTAAAAAAAATACACGTTGTTAACATTTCTAAATATCTCCCACAGCCCTGCAATCAGAATTAATTTCCCAAGAGGAAAAAAAGGTGATTTGACTCAGTGAATGCAAGAACAATTTTCCCCATTGGCACAGCTTCTCCAGGAATTGGAAGAGACAGACAGTATCTGAAAGTAGATGTTTCGAAGGTGTCCCATTTGCTGCCTTCCTGTAACAGCACTTTCAGAAGCGGAGATGCTAGGGGAAGGCTCTTGAATTAGCACCTCTGCTTGCTGAGAACCTGTAAAGTGACAGCAATTTGTCGGATGGAGCATTCTGAGGCCAGTAACGTCCTGTGTAATGACGACAACAAGCACAGAGAGTCTGACAAGCATAGCTGAACAAAACTAAATTAAGGCCACAGCTGGTGATGATGGCAATCATGCAACAGGGTTATGATCCTTACAGACATTCCTAGAAATTCCTTTATGATCTAAACTCAAATTTTCCAAGTATAAGGCTTTAAAGAACCAGGAAAAAAAAAAACTGCTGAAAAAGAAATATGCTCATCTAGTCACTGTGTAAAGAACTTGAGGAGCAGCATGCCAAAGTTCACAGGCCAACCTAGGTCAGAGATGGCCAGCTCTGCTCTTGCCTCAGTTCAACCTTGGATGAAGAAGGAAAAGGTGAAAGTCCAAGACCAGTCAAGTATCAGCTAAGCTATCTTCCACTGTGTCAGCTGAGGACCAAATAAGATGACATTTCCAGGTATACCAGCATTGAAGAGGGTACTTGTGGGTTTGCTCCTTTTTAAAGAGCAGTGGAGACCAAGACAACACAGACTCAGGCTTACAATTCCCTGGATGACATGACCACCACTGCACAGCTGGCAGCAGTAGGGCATTTAAGACCCACAAGGTTTCTCTATATGGACAAGGCACCAGGAAAGGCAGAAAACTTGATTAATGCATTCCCAAAGACAAGATGACCTTCTGCAGCTCCCTCAGGGGCAACAACAATAAAGCATCCATGCCCTCTGGAATAGTAGGAGCCTCCAAGAAAACCCAACTTAAAAATAACTACAAAGCAAACCCATCATGCAACTGATTCATATTTCTCCCCTTAATCTTTCACCATAATTTTAGTTCTTCACTTCATCCTAGTGGAATAAGACATAGCAAAACCAATGCAGCAAAACGTGACACCCAAATATTTATAGTGATAGGGAAATAAAAGATCATGTTATAATTAACACCAGCTAACTCAGGAAAAAAATTGTTATTGCATGCCTCACACCACCATATCCATCAGCTGTCACTTACCAGAAGATTGAAGCCATGCTTGAATTTTTGGAAGCAGTCAACAAATTCATCTGGAGGTGGCGGTTTTGCACGGAGAGTAAGGACTCCCTCTGGTGAACAAAATGAGACTTTTAGATATCCGTTTATATGGTATATAACTTCTAGAAATATTACTGATAAAGTAAACACAAATACATAACAAATTTAGCAATTTACAGAATTCTGTAAATACAGAACCATGACAGTAAGCATATTCTGTGGTAACGTCTCTAATTAGTCACTCCCCACTGACTTCAAGCAAATTATTTTCATAGGTTTTCCTCTAAGAATATACTGCATAGGATTTTTTTTGTGCTCAAAGTGAAAGAAAATTACTACATTCATGCAAAGAACCAACACAAAATGACACATTTGCTATCCACTTCAATTATCTTTAGAGAAACAGAATTGTGTACAGTAAGAACTCCCACCTCCAGGTCCTTTCTTTTTACTTTTCTTAGTTTTCTTCCTCTTTGAAAGTTCAGCAAAAGCTTCAGCAGCCTTTTGAAGTTTGGTAACAAAATACTCAATGTCATCCAAAATATGGTTCAGAATTTGCTATGGGAGAAAAGAAAAGTAAGTTTCTCTACAGAACCTATAGCAGAAATACTCCAGAAATCACTCTCTCAGACCTGAACAGCTTTCTCAGAACAAAGTTTATAACAGAACATTCTATATTTACAGTCATTATGTTCTTAACTTTAAACAGCTGTAAACTATTTTCAAAATTAGTTTTTTAAAAACTTTCAGCCACTGGAAGTTTTAAAAATATGAGCAACAAGATTATTAAATTCAGATTGCAATTACACAATTTGTTCACACATTGAATTTTCTCTCACAGTACATAAAAAAACTAATTATTTGAATGGACACCATTTCCCTAAACACTATAAATTTGTACTAAAGCAGATTCTGAACCTGTTTGTTGAATGTCATAATGTAGTTTTGTAGAGAAGTGCTCTCTGAATAATTGTTTTCAAAGAGAAAGTAGAGGAGAATGTATGAGGCCTGGGGAAAACACATATACATCAATTCAGCAAGACTCAACACGCTTTCCTCAAGACCCTCTGATGTTGCTGAGGGCAAGAGTAGAGTAGAAAACTTGAAAGTTATAACTGACAAGTGGAGCAATATTTGATATTGCATACATCATAGGACCCGTCCAATATTGTTACATTTAAAGCAAGAAAAGTTTAGGTTATACGTATACATGGTCCATTTCGTTCAGAGATTATCATATGTTTATTTTCCAGATATTGCACATATCCAAGTCCCACAAAATTGATGGAATTTTTTATCCTTACACAGTTTGCTGAATTTGGTCTACCACATAAAGTTACTATTTCTAGCTCTTCACGGCAGAAGACTTTACATCAACATTCAGTCCCCTTCTTTTTTCTTAGAGCAAGAACTACCACCCATTCATTTATAGGTCTATGACACAAACATAGGCTGCCTGGAAAGCTTTCTTCCATAACGGAATTTCTCATGTGGAAAAAATCTTCCCACAAAGTAGAGCTGCAAAATTTCACAGACATGAAGTAATATCACTTGTATTTTTTCACTTACAACATCTCTGTCAATCCTAGCTGCTATCATCTCTGCTGTCTCTTCGTGATCATGGTATTGTCTATGTTTTTCAACTGCAGAAAAGAAAAGAAGAGAATAAGACATCCAGATGCGCACAATTAATAACCAACACTTCCTATACAGCTAGTGCATCAAGCCATACTACCATAAGGAAAAAACAGACAAAACTGTTTGTAACATTCACTTTGCAAGGACTCCACATAACCTAAAAATCTTGCACCCTAATGCCTGATCCTGCCAAGTCTTACCAAAAAAATCATAGGTTTATGCTTTCAGTCAGCTTAGCTGCATAAATGCAGTTAACCACAGAAGTGTGGTACCAGGGTCTAAATAAGAAATTAGCCCATTAGAAATTCTACAGCATTCCTCGGTTAAGGTTAAAAAATAAAACAAAACAAAACAAAGATACCAAACAAACCAACCAACCAAAAAAACCCCCCCCAAAAAAACCCCAAACAACTACTTAAGCCATACAGGCCATTATAAAGATAACTATAAAATAAATAAATAATGCTGATCTCCAGTCATCTTTTAATTCATGATTATATATTTTTAATTGCTGAAATATCTAGCCTATGGCTCACCTGATTACTGAAGAGAGCATTACTAAATTAGTAGCATTATGGCAGTACTGGTTACTATGAATGCTACTGTATTCACAAAAGCTCAAGTTAAAATTGGTAGCCTACACCTCCACTCAGCTAAACACAAGTAAAAGCAGCTCTGAACAGAAATTCAGAAGTTCAGAAAATGCGTAAGTGCAAGTTAATGACAAGTCAGATTATGACAGACAGGTCTGATTTCCCAGATCAGGCAATGGTGGCTTGGGGCATTTCAGACCAGACCGGGAGAATAATCCTGTTTGTTCTCAGCGAGGACAGACGGGTGACCTCGTACAGACATTTCTCTATCTGCATTCAATTACTGTAATCTTTATGAAAGCGGTCCTTCCACATTATTTTTTGTTATTACCAAGGATCATAAAAACCTACTGCCCAGAACAACTATCTGTCACCACACTGTGCGGTAGCAGCTCTCAGAATACTCACACTCCCCCTGCTCTGCAGCCCACGCAGACCATGCCGCCACACGGCTTCTGACGTCCACCTGGGTGATGGTTCCTGGTGGCACAGGGGCAGGCGCTCGTGGTGGCGGAGGAATGGCACTGTCAGCTTTGGATATCATTCTAGAGGAAGAGAAGAAAGCTCACAAGTGACACTTGAAGGAAAAATACCCTATTTCTAGTGCTTAATCAGAGAAGACAAGGAGGCTTCACAAGAACCTCTCCTATTGTCGAACATACTATGGACTTGCCAAGTAAGCAGTACTCAAGACCATGATGTGTAAATATGTTAAACACAGTAGAAAACCCAGTCCATGATTAGGTTAGCAAATAGTCATCTGGCCACTTGGGAAATTGCCAAGCAGTGCCACAGAAAATGATCTCCAGAAACCTGCCAGTTTACATCAGTAAATTCAGTGGCTTGGGTTTAGTAGGTGACATTTTTTACCACCATACGCAGTTTACTGGACTTCAGTTTTGTGTGAAAGTTTTCATTAGAAGTTACCTTTCACCCCTCACAAGTTGATTACAGGTTGCCAGCCACCTGTTTCTCAAAACCCTACCCACAAAACCAAATTTACTGGATGATCTTCCTTTTTATAACAGTGGTCTGTTCATCCTGGCTTGATATAAAAATGTATCAGTGTTCCCACCTGCAATTTTCCAGTTCTTAGTGTAGTTTTAAATACCATAAGGAAAGAGGTCTTTGAAGACATTGTACAGCTTATACCAAAAGAAAAAAATCTCAACAGCTCCTGTCATACAAACATACCATCCCTTCCCCACACTCCTATTTAAAAGCAAGATCTTCACCTTATATTAATCTCTTTATAATCCCATCTCATTCATGGCATTCAACTACAACACAAAATGTCAAGTGGTATTTGGTCTTTGGATACTGAATAAAAAACTAATGTTTTCTTCACTCCAGTCTCCCGGACACTCTTCTCTACACATTCCACACTTCCACTTGTCAATAACCTTCCAGCAATTCAATAATGCAATGACAGGAAGAAGGGTCTCTCCTCATGACCCAATGCCAGCATGTACATGATACGAGAGCGAGTAACCGGTGCTAAGCTGTAATGCACTCATGACCTCCTAGCCCTCGGAGACTGGTATCTTAGATTATTTTTCCCTCCAGATGTACTGACCTACATTCTTTTTCCAATTAAATCTTGTTAGTTTCCCAGCACATCCAATGTGTTTGAGTCCTTCTGGATTGCTTATACCTATTTGTTACAATCCCATGGACAATAAAGTCTACTTATTTAATTTTAAACCTGCAGACATGGTTCATTTTTTGTTTTGTTTTATAGGAGTGACTATTACTCTAGGAAAACTTTATGAGTTGTACATCAGAATTTAACTGGTAACCAAGACTATTATGAACTCATTCATATAATGGTGACATTTTTACTTAATGATTTTTGTCCAGCAGAGACTTTTCTATCTGGTCCATAAAACTATGTATTATTGAGAGATACTAACAGGATGAAGTTATGTACTAACTTTTCAACAGACTACCACATTTACCATTCAGTATCTAATACACTTGTGCCCTTGTTTCTTTGTCTCTGTTGGCTACCTCTCATTTCTGTATTCATCTTCTCTGAACCCAACAGACTCTTTTCACCCACATTTTCCAACTCACAGAGAGATTTTGCTACCAGAGAAACAAGGAGTCTTCAGCATCATTAAACAGGCAGGCAGGAGGATTATTCAACCTTTAGTTGCTATTTTATTTAACATCTTTAGTTCCCAAAACTTTTTATCAGAATCTTATTTACTTGAAGTTCTGGGGCATTTATGTTCTTAATTTAAATTCTGAACTACTTCACCCATAAGCAGAACTGAGATATGCAATGCTATTCTTTGGCAGATGATATTTGTATCTACTGTTCCAGTCACTAAGGTGGAATCAGGAAAGGTAAGTGATGCTATAAATTGAGAGACCATGGGATAATTATTGAAGCAAGGCCTCTACACACGGTTTTGGAAGTATATCATCAATTAGCAAAAAAGAGCAAAAGACAGCAGGCAGACTTGCAGAGCTTCTGAATGCTGTAGCACTACTTGGCCATCCTATATAATGCCAAGAAGTTAGATTTTTACCTCAGTGTTTCAAGCCTCTTCTTCTGCTTCCCACTTTTGCTGTCACTGATTGCACTTTCAATATCTTCGTGAATAAAGCTAGCCTAAAGAGACAGAAGCAGGAACCATCAGTCATCAGCTAGACTATCCAGATACATGAAAAAAATATCTCCTTGTACACTTTAAAAATCATCTTTAGATTCCAGAATCCCTTATCAAATCTCATTTATTTAAAAGTTCTGGGATAAATTATTTTACACATAAGCAGAATGAAAAAACACACTATGCTATTGTTTGGCAGTCATCATTTTTGTCACTGTTCCAATGTCAAGCATTATCATCAGACGAATATGTCATCTAGATACCAAATTTCTCTGAACAGCTGTAATTATCTCAAGTCAACCATTATTGCATAAGCTATTTTTCCCCCTCCGTGTACATATTTGTTTTCTCAAGCATGTGAGGGAAAAGACATACTATAAAAAAACCCTACTATATATAGGACTAGGAAAGTAACTCACAGTGATACAGATTTCTTTAAGAAATAACAGTAGCCTCCAGTTTCTCTTTGGTTTAATAGAAGATTAATTTTTCAGCACATATCTGTAGGTTCCTACCATTCCATAACTGGAGTCTGCTTCCATCAGTGGCCCACAAGTGAAATTTTGATGCATGTCTAAGGCATTATTTTAATACATCTTGTATTAAATAGGTCACGGCTTCTCACAGGATTTAGAATGCTCTGTTACATGTCTTCAGCTGACAAATTAATTTCCTACATAGGTTGTCAAAGCCCAAAAATCTGTCAGCTCATGCTGCAAGGTCCATGTCTTTCTTAGCCCCTTCATGATGTAGAAGTATGTAACTTTTTGAGAGGAATATATAACTTCTGCTGGGACCAGAAAACCATTGAATCTAGGATCAAAGAGGATTAAGGGGCTTCTCACGCTATAATGAATTGCATTTCAGAATATGGACAAAGGATACATTAAGGTTAAAGAATTACAAGAAAAAAAATAGGGGGATTTGAGGAACATAAACCCAGAAGAATTCCATTAATCATACTCCTGATATTTATTATTTAACAATTTTTTGTTTAGAAAAATATTGAATTCCTCAAATACTATTGATTTGCACTAATTTTTTTTTATTGCAGAGGCTCCTGAGGAAGACAGACCTAATCCTTTGAAACCAGCCAAGCCTCATGGATAAGGAACAAAACCTAGGGTACAGTCATAGACTCAAGCAATACCTCAGAAGAAAAAGTGGATCCTGGAGTTCCAAGCCATGCTTATGTGCCCTGCATTTTTATCTGTACACAGAGGAACAACTTCAAAAAGATGAAAGTCTGAAGAAAAGAGACCACCTCTACTCCTTGGGAAGCTGAGTCCTACCAGAACTCAACAAAGATCCCTGCATTACTTAACATAATGCAACTTGAACTTCTCACAGGACACCAATTTTCACTGAAACAGCAAATTTTGTGCAACTATTCACACAATTAACCAGTTATCTTCACATCGCTTTCACCATACCAATTTCAAAATGATTTCACAATATGATTTTTAATCTGTTGTTTTAAGACAATGATATGAACTACTATGAATTTTTAAAATCCTCATTAAATTATCAACTGGAATTTAAAGAAATTATAGATAGTAACTAACATAAATTAAAATTTCTATCCCTGGAAATAAAGAAGCATTACAGAATACATTTAAAAAGTTATTTATGCTTGAAGGATATTCTAGTCAGAGATGAACAATCTCTTTCCTTGTTTTGCCCCTTCTGCAAGTACTATTTTCCGTCATTATCTCTCCAGCACAGTAGAGATGCAGACAGATGGAAATGTAGAGAAGTACTTATTACTCAATGACAAAAAGAGCAGAAAAAGGGAAAAGACTAGTTAAGACTCTGGACTCAGATGAATTCTTTGCAGATTGCAAGACAAATTTGAGAAAAACTATTTTACACCACTTTCTTAAAAAGTGTGAATACATATCTTATATATATTCCAGAGCTTTACTCATTTGCAAATCTAAATGAACAGCTACAGAGCCTAAGAATCAATATTGACAGTAACAACATATTTGCACATGCACTAAAGATTCAGCTTTCGTACAGGACTACTCTCTTGTAAGACATACTACTCAACATTTACCAACATACTGTAAGTAGTGTTGATATCATAAATGCATACAACTTTAACCATATTTTTATGAATAAAAGAACACAATTCTTTTCTATGAATCAGCCTGTTTTTATTCACTGTACTTGCCATTTAATATATTTTCCCCCATTCAAATAAGTTATAGCATATCTCCACTATCACCTTACCTTAATCTCATCACACTGGAAAAGATGCAAATCGGGCTTGTTCTGGGTTGGTTCTTTACAAATTAATGCAAGAATTGAATTGTAATTGCATGCATTCATCACAGCTTGGCAATGCTGAATTGTGCTTAAAGGAAAATTCTCCAGTTCATTCTGCCGGAAGAGAAAAAAAAAAAACAACACACAAACAAAAAACACCACCTTACTATACAGTGTCCTGATCTCAGAAAAGCTGCATGAGTTAAAAAAGGAAAGTGATAATAAGCTAATTAAAATACCGAATCTCACATACATCATTTTTCTGCCTGTTCCCTTTTTTCCTCTCTCTCTCTGAAAATGAGACTGCCACTCACATATCTTACCTTTGATTCCAAGTCCACCAAACTGACAGCTTTGTCATCCACTTGCAGAATCATATCTTGAGTCCACACTTTGCCTTTGGCATCCAGCAATTTCAGCTTCCTTATTCCATCATCTACTGTAATCATGGCCTCTTTTCGGTCCAGAACAAAGGTGGTCAAGTGCTAGGGAATGGGACGTATATTAAAGAAAAAAAAAACAACAAAAAAAAACCAAAAAACAAACCACTAGTTTACGCTATTGCTCTGCAGTGTCAGTATTCAAATTGCCAGGAAATAGCAATACAAATTATTCATGAATAATAGTGCCTTTGTATATGACAGATCCCACCAGTAAGCCATTAGAAAGGTTGCTTTAGTCCACTATGTCATTTTAAGTCAACTGATTTTTGTAACTCACTATTTGTCATCCTCTGTCACTTCGTCACTACAGTAACTGGTTAGACTTGAAGGCATATTCTGACCTCTTTCAGGTATCAAAGCTAGAATTAAACCCTGAGGATTTAATTAGCTTTCTTGAGGAGTGAAAACCTGTCTCTCTTGGCAAGCTGAATCCAGAAACGTCAGCAGAAAGTTCCCAGAAACACCCTGCCAACATACCTCCACACCACCCTGACCTGGAGTGTCCTCATCTCTTCCAGAGCTGCCAGCTAGCATGCTGATGGTAACTATGATAGGCTTGCATCTGACTGGGATACCTTATGGACAGGCTAGTCACTTCTTTTATATGGACCACAGTAGAAATGTAATATACCATTTTTGATCACCATCAACTTGGAATGCTCTCCACATTCAATTAGTGGCCTAGAAACTAAACACTGCCTCACAGACACCACCTCAACTGGCTTCCTTGTCATTATGGTTTTGACAATTTCTCCTTCAACATGCCAACCATGCAAGACAACCATAAAATTATTTCATTTTATCCAGGCATAAATCCAGCTTCACATTCTTATTGAAGGCATGGTTACACTCATTCAAGCTGAACCAATTTTAATATATGCCTGCACATCTATCTTCTAAATAACTTTAAAAAAAATTAAGTATGTTTTTTTCTATTATAGGATAATAATATCTAGGGATGACAGCCAAGAGAGTAGATATAACCCACATACAATCAAAGTATTTAAAAGAAGTGAAAAAAACACTCTACTGGCTGCTCCCACAGGAATGCTTAGATTCCAAATACAACTACTAATTTTTATGCCAGTTCAGTACCAAAACCATTATGAAGAAACCAAAGAAAAATACAGACATACAATTAAAAGCAATACAAGTATTCATTTGCAAGCTGATCACAGAATAGAAGCACTTGAAATAAAGTCTTCTGCATTATGATCTCACAATTTACAGCTGATTCAAAACTCAGCAAAAAGGAGCTGAGAATCTATGGTATTTGCAAGACTTGGCTTAATCCATGACAGTGGTCTGAAGGCAGTGGGAGAAAGTTTGGGTCAAAGCAAGACTACACAGTGGGACATTGCATCCAAAAGTGCTTAAACAGGCTACATATGGGCAATTACGCTTTCTTTGCTGAATATTTTAAAAATATCTTCTCATGGATAAAATATGACAGCCACATACAGCAATTCTGCAAAGCAGCTTAAGATGGGAAATAACATACTTTGCACTTCACAATGGGAAAGAATCTGCAGACAGAATATATTTTTTTAAACCACTACATAGTAGACTAACTGGGGCTTTTAGGGGTTAATGCTCAGCTCTTTTTGAATATTCTGTCACCTCTGCTGATTATAACTGATCAAACCATTCATTTTAAATAAAATCCAGTATGTTTCACCAACAGCACTGTGTTTTTCTGCCCTGCCTCACCCTTGAAACAAGCCATGTTCAGAGACAGGGCAGCATAATACGTTGAATTGATATGCCATTGAGAAGTCCTGTCTGTCTGTCAAACTACACTCAACTTTGCTTACATTCTTTTTCTTCAGAATTTCAGCTCATTATGGCAAAGCTAAAGAATTTGAGACCTTTCAGTGCAATCTATTCTGAAGTGACCTCAGCCTGGCAGGATATTTTGGAAGATGTATATGCCTTCAAGCATATGTAGCCTCAAAAATCATGTAGGCAAAAATAACTTAATGTAACTGTAAGCTATAATTGGTATATTGCTCCTCATCTCACCTCTACGCGATACTGCGAAGTTTCGGATATGCTGCTGGCACTGTCTCGTGCATAATTCTTTCTTTGTTCTAAAGATGAGAGGAAAAGAAAGGATAATTATTCATTCCACTTCTTATCATGCTGTTTTGAATACTTCTCAGATATACTTAAGACTAGTTGTTCATATGAAAGCAGAAGACAAGCTGCTGATAATTTCTCTATTTTTACAGAACAAACCGTCACCCCCACGTAGTCCAGCACAAGGATCATACTTACGTCAACAATGTTAAGAGAGAGCCAGTGGGTGCAAACAAAAGCCAGTTATCTTGTCAGTGAGTCAAGACACCTGAGGGGAGCTGTGTTCTGACTGAAAACACTTCATTGGGATTATTAAAGTCACTGGCTTGTCTCTTTGGAAGCAATAAGTTAACCAGCATCAGGCTTACTGAATTCGTACGAACACACTTAAAAGCATAAGTATTTTCTGATATACATGTTAAATCTGCAAAACAACAAAGCCACACACAAAACAGACCTGAATCATCCTTTATTTCTTCCTGAAGTATTCAATCTGACGAATTACTGATGTAGAAATATGCATGGAAAAGGGTAAAAATACCCAAAAAACAAAACAGACAAACAACACACCAAATATCTCTAAACAGAAATATTTTTCAGCTGAAGAAAAAACAATGCTGCAAAATCAGAAACATCATTTGCCTTTTAGTCCATACAATAGATTAATATCAAACCAGGCAAGAAGGGAAAATGCAAAGTGAAGACATGACACACACACACACATAATGAATTCAGATGAATACTGAAGAAAACTTTTCAATGTCAGTGGAAAAAAAATTGAATGCAACATTTGGTAGGTTTTTCTCTTTCTCCGCCACAACCTCTTGAGCACCTGATCTGGAACAACAGGAGCTTAGCCTACGGAAGGAACTCACTAGATGACTTGGCCAAGAGAGGTCCAAGGAAACTCTGCAAGTATTCTCTCTCCAATATATTAAATAACTTTTCTGATCTTCAAGTAAAACAGGTGGTTTGACTTTGTTCAGAAGGAAAGTACCTGATGTACATACATTCAAAATCCATTAATTTCCTCATACTCTGAATACTTGGGGCGGGGAAGGGGGAATAAAAGTGCCTGATTCTGTTGACAGGAAAGGTAAGTTACTTTTTGTGAAATAAAAAAAATGCTGACTACTACCAAGCACATGATCTGTGACACACAGAGATCTGCAGCAAGGGAACCATAAAAGCCACACTGTAAAAGGCTCTTCTATGACCAGGGTTCCTTCAGACAGGAATTTCAGGTGCTGACAGATACAGAAGTGTCCTAATTTTCAGGTGTCCCTTGTAGAAGTATTTGTCACCTTTTATAATCATGCCCATTTATCTCTTCAGTTCTCACTGTCTTTCATGAAAGCCAATACAGTTTCTGAAATCCCTCACTAGCTTGAACCCCAACTTCCACGATGAGAAACAGTTCATGCAGAGACATCCTGCTACTGTACAGCAGCTACTCAGTTTGCTTTAGCAAAAGAAGCATGCAGTGCAATCAGCCAAATTCAAGAACTCCATGGATAATCAGAAATTTTAACTAGGTGTGTGAATATTTTAAAACAGATGTCTCAATTTAATTAGCCATTATTCTGAAGTTCCAAGGCAGAAGATCTACATTGATTCCAACTGTAAGTACTATTTCTGCTTTTGCAGCATGTAACTTAAAGTGGCTTTTTTTCGGTTTATTTTCTTTTTAACAAGAGACACACAGACACATGCACACCCCTACAAACCAATCAATACAGCAGTACTGTCTGATTTGCTACCTTTCTTTTTTTGTTTGGATGACGATCTGAAGAAGTAAAGTCCATCTGTTCCTAACAAAACAAGGGTATTAAAAAGCAGTATCTAATTTAACTCTACAGAATTATTTGCATCTCCAAGGGGATCATTTAACAGTTTTCTGTTATGGACTGTAAATGATAGTTAAATGCTGTCCACTAAGAAAGAACATATGCCTAAAACAGAAGTCACTTGTTTCAATTAACAATGTATCAAATATTCAGCTTTGATTGTTATATTTTTTTAGGTGAACAAAAGTATTATTTTTTAATGATCTCAAATTAAACCAGGATAAGTAATTTTACATCCACTTTAAGGTTAATAAATACATCCTGCAAACAATAACAGTTGGAGTTGTTTTAAATACACAAAGAAATCCTGGCATGTGTAGAGGCTCCAAAGGAATTAAAAAGCAGTGAGCAACTTTTTCAAAAGATTCCTTTCTCCACTTCACAGAAATTTTGTCCTGTGTTAAGACAGGATATCCAAAATCATCTGTAGCACTGATTAACATATCTTCTTCCACAGAACAGCACAACACTCACAATAGACAAGACGGCAAAGTTTTCAGCACACCAGGTCATGGTGAGAACAATAGTGTTTATATAAGAGATAGAGCTTTCTGAATGGTAATAAAAGCTCTACACTTGAGTGCCAAGGATAGCTCCTCAAATTCTGGATTATTAATTACAACACCATAGCAACAAAAACTTAAAAAAAATTTCCACATTAGCAAAAGTCAATCCACATTTGCATTAATAAACAGAAAGTATGGTCACCATAACAACTGACAGGCCATACTGAGTTCAGCAACAATTCCTATTTACCTGTCTATATCTTTAATGCAAGTAGACTGACTATTAGAACCTGCTGGAGATCCAAGTCATAATTTAGACTAGAATAGAAATAGAATAATACCAGTTGGAAGGGTCCTATGATCATCATCCAGTCCAACTGCCTGACCACTTCAGCAGTGACCAAAAGTTAAAGAATGTTATTAAGAGCATTGTCCAAATGCCTCTTAAACACTGTGTCAAGGTCTTCTTTATTTCTCACTCTGCCACCCCAGCAAGTAGGCTGGGGGTGCACAAGAGGTTGGGAGGGGACACAGCTGGGACAGCTGACCCCAACTGACCAAAAGGATATTCCATACCATATGATATCATGCTCAGCAATAAAGCTGGTGGGTTGTCTTTCCAAGGTAGCCCTTGCTCAGACTGTCTAGCCATTGGTCTGCTTGTGAGAGGTGGTAAGTGATAGTCTTTGTGTTACTCAGTTTTTTCTTTTTTTTTTCTCCTCCCTCCTCTTTCTTTCACTTATTAAGCTGTCTTTATCTTGATTAAACAGTTTTTTTCTTGTTTTCACTCTTCTGATTCTCTCCCCTATCATGCTGCAGGCAGGAGACAGCAACTGAGTAGGTCCATATTGCTGGCTGGAGTCAATCCCCAACACTGGAAAAAAAAAGTTTTGTATACTTCATTTCACTCCTAATCATCCTGATCAATCTCAAGTCTCTCATGGTTCTGTTCATGCATGAAGAAAGTTACTGAAGCTCAAGTGAAATCCTGCAACAGAGACTTCCAGATAGGATTTATAAAACTATGAAGGGATGAATAAAACTATCAAAACTGTTCCATTTTTTTCTACTTACTTTACTTACTGCAGCTATTATATCCAACATGGAAAATACAGTGTAGCCTTAACACTGCAGTTAGTTCAAACCCTACTGATATGCTGCACACATTTTACCCAAAATATTTTCCCTCTGATAAAGGAGAAAAATAATTTTAAAAATGTATCATGGCAGAAGACACTTAAGTTAAATTCTTAAATCACAATCTGTAGCAATTGCAACCGAGAGCAATTTAAGCAAAATAAAGTATTTCACAAGGCGATGGCAATAAACTTAAAAGCAGCACAGCATTCCACTCACAGGTCCCGAATGTACGATCTACAAGCTACTAAACCCTTCAAAGGAACACAAACATTGATCCTCAGAAGCTAATACTCTTCCTGTTCCCTGATATGGAGAGATGCTACTGCTATTCATGTCTTTGTGAACCTACTGAATTCATCAATTATCAGGAACAGACCAAGTTTCTGGTTTCAAAAAGCGTGAAAGAGTACTGATTTCATATAAATTTTCTAAGCAGCCAAGACACCAGAAAACAAAAAACAACTTCTTGACCAGAGACTTTTAGCCAAGCCAACAATACACCAGACAGTACATGATACAGACAAATAGGACTTCGCTCATTCTGTTCCTTGCCCTCCCTGCACTAGTATCTCTGTGCTCTCCCTGGTTATCTCTGTGAAGGATCATTTCATACTTAGGAAAGGTAACTATTCCACAGTTTCAGACAGAAACACTGGTGTGGCTCAAGGTCCTGACACTCTTAAACTTAAGAGATCACCCGTTTTCCAGCTGGAAAAGAGCGTGGCAATATGGCAAACTGGAAACCTGCTTAATAAACTCTACCATAGCCTGGCTCTGTGCCACTGTCCATAATACTGCACAAAGAACTGTATCACAGCAAGAGAAATCTAATTCTTTATCTAGGTAGGGAAAATTCTTACCAAAAGCAAAAGACCTCAGCATTGGTTTTAACAGATTACCTGAATCATGGGTGGTGCTGGTTACGGCTATGATACCATTAAGCACAACAGATTTTCAGTTCCTAAAAGTCTAAAACAGAAATGAGGAATCTTGATGCCTAGACTTTCATCGATGACTTACATATAATTGCATAGTTCATATGTAACAGATGCTATCTGTGCTATGGTTATGATAGCACAAATAAAAACAATGGTGGATCCCACCTTCCCCTTCCATAGCCAAATTAGAAAATGTCTGTACAGTGTACAAGAGACAAAGCTCTAAAATCTGATGGGTAATCCATGTGGAGATGGATTAAGAGCCTCCCTCTAAAGCTGTCCTAAGTATCCTGAAGTGACAGTGTAAATTATTGCCACACACCGTCAAGCAGAAAAGCCCAATACTTAGTTTACTACTGTATATTTGTGGTTTGCATTGGACTAAATGCTGACACCCCTTTAAGAATGTATTGCAGCAGCTTGAAAAACTCAATTTGAGACTGAGAGCAAAGAGCAGGAGACATGAGCTACGCATCTGGGTAGAAAGGTCAAAACTTGAGTTCACCACAAATCTTTAAGAGAGGAGCAAACAGTATCACCTTCAGAGATTTGTGCCACAAGCTTCTCCCTGATAGCCACACTGAAGTAGCTATCAGAGAAAGTGTATTGTTTAGAAGTCAATTGTCTGTTTAATTAGAGTATCAAATAACACAAGCATGTCACATGGATAGCTTCTTTTAATAGACTCCTTTACCTAGCCTATGATCTGCATGCAATTTCCTTGAATTTATTACACTACAGTTCTTGCTTTGAATGAGGTATTTGAACAATGCAAAAATACACATGCAATTTCACTTCTAGCACCTAATCATAGCCATGAGAGTATAAACAAAATGTATAAAACACCTAGTGTTTTACAATGCAGCGTGAAGACAATTTCAGTAGCATCTTTCAATTCTGTGCTGTATAATAATCTAACAATTTGGAGCAAGCCATGAGCTCGCTACTCCTGGGGAATGGGGCTGCTCCACACTGGGTCACTCACTGGCAAACCCCCAGCACAGCCCTGGCTATTGGCGTCAACTGACGTCGCACGCTTCCCCACAAGCAGAGCTGCAGAAAGCAGATGGAGAAGGCAATGCTAGAACAACAGATGACAGTACGAGCCAAAACCCATTTTAGATGGAAAAACTGGAAACCAAATAATGAAATATAACCCATATGAATGTGTAGAAGGCATCTTCCCTCCCAGTTCAGTGAGAGATTTATCATGCAAATAGAAAACAGATCATTTCGGGAAGGAAATGAGGGAAAACAAAGGAATTATTTGACACAGGAAAAAAAGTAGTTGCAAGGAAGTTTTTGCTATCAGATAACTACATCAGAGATAATGATGGCTCTGGTCTAGTTTTTAACTGAACTGTCTGTAACACCAAAAAAACTGTAGCCTCCTTTCCCAGTGGCACTGTGGTCGACCTTCTGCCTAATGACCAAAGGACTGAACAATCATGAATCACCTTAGCACTGGGATTAAACACAAACTTCATGTCATAAAATACATATGTATTTATATACATATATAGCCACATATTAATATCAATCATTACTATATTTTTCATCTTTACTGTGCTTGAAAGAAACTGAGTTCAAGATCACGTGGTTACTTAGCAGCCCAAATACCATGTTCACTTGTTGATGCTCATGGACAGGTGCTTTAGTACAAATGACATTCAAAAGTCTTCCAAGAAAAGGAAGCTTGTCATGGATGAAATTTGCTGCTAAGATAACATGGCCACATTTTATCAGAACAAAAAAAAATAGTGCATTTTACTTTAACAGTAAAATTACATACATATTTTCAAATATACTATAAGTGAATCTATTAAATACATGAGTGTTACGTATTTACATAAATAAAATATGTACATTTAATATATATGAAGATAATTTAAAATATAAAAAGAGAGCCACAAGACCTCCAAACTGCATTACAGCTTTCAGTTTCATGGATCTCAAGTAAAATAACTAAGTTAGCTATTAATTATAAATCAGTTATAAATAAAATATTTTACAATAGCATTTTTACAATAGCATTTTTACCACATTTTAACAATTCCAGTATCACTCAACTGCTTCTCACTCTCCTCAGGACAGCATGTACAAAAATCCCTAACATCAAAAAGGAAGAAAAGACACGTGTGGGATGCAGCAGAATGGTAACCTGGTTGCTAAAATTTAAAAAAAATATATCTATAATTGCCCTGAATTTGAGAAAGGTTTTGTTTTCTTTATTTTCTCCAGTTCATACATTTGGTGATACTGACAGCCTAGTTCTTTATGCATACAAAACAGAGCAGTAGCAGTAAAACGTGCAAACTCCTCTCTAAAACAAAGCTGTGCCAGTATATCTTTACTCAGAGCTCCAGGATAATTGTCTTCCACTTCATTCAGTTTCTGGCAACTGCAACTGGAGTTTTGTGATATAACTACCAGCAATGGAAGTAAAACAAGATCAACAATTCATTTTACAGGAGCAACAAATCAGCAGTTATATGCTAAGCATTTTCAATTGGTACCTGAATTCAAATAAGTATTTTAGAAATAAGAGACTGTTTACCATCATATACCTCAAATGTACTCACTTGTCCCTATCTTCTACTGACATATGACTATCCCATGACATGTTTGATATGAAAAAGCTCAGAGAGGTATTATTTTAAAAGCCCACAAAGATTAAAGGACAAGGTTAAGACACTGATACTACCAAACTGTTCAAAACATGTAATCCTGAAAAATCATTAGGCTGACATAAATTGAAAAATAAAAGCACAACACTCTCATAACATCTCTTAAAGAAATAATCTAAGTGTTTTTCACAATGTCTCTTGCTCATTTCCATTACCACCTCCTATTTCTGTCAATGTGTGCAATAACTTTGTCGAGTGAACCCATACAGGACGCAGAAATTACTGTTAAAAACTATCACTCTCTTCTACTGCCATCTTTGCTGATTTTCCTAGGTGTGGACCTTCACAATACTCCAGCACACTGTCTTCATCCACCTAACCACATTAGCTTTTTCACATCACTGCTCTTTTCCAAGGATACAAGGCTAAGAGACATCCCATCTCCTTCTTAGGCTTTTAGCCTCAGAATTTGAAGCAGTCTGAAAGCCAAAAAGGCAGCCAATAGAACAAAGTTCTTCTCATGCTCATGGCTGAGTAACTGAACCCAAGGCCTGTAGGACAACATCCTGGCCTGTATCAGAAGTAGTGTGGCCAGCAGGAGTAGGGAAGCAATCATGCCCCTTGTACTCAGCACTAGTGACACAGCACCTCAAATACTGTGTTCAGTTTTGGGCCCCTCACTCCAAGAATGACATTGAGTTGCTGGAGCACGTCCAGAGAAGAGCAACAAAGCTGGTGAAAGGCCTAGAGAACAAGTTTTATGAGGAGCAGCTGAGGGAACTGGGGTTGTTTAGTCTGGAGAAGAGGAGGCTGAGGGGAGACCTTATCACTCTCTACAACTACCTGAAAGAAGGTTGTAGTGAGTTAGGCTTGGGTCTCCTCTCACAAGTAACCAGTGACAGGACAAGAGGAAATGGCCTCAATTTGCACCAGGGTAGGGTTAGAATGAATATTAGGAAAACATTCTTTACTGAAACAGTGGCCAAACACTGGAACAGGCTGCCATGGAAATGTTGGAATCACCATACCTGGAGGTGCTCAAAAACATGTAGATGTGACACTTCAGGACATGGTTTAGCGGGCATGGGGATGTTGAGTTGATGGTTGGACTTAATGATCTTAGAGGTTTTTTCCAACCTTAATGACTCTCTGATTCCAAACGAAAAGTTAATGCTGTTCTAATGCCACAAAACATCCTGCCATCCCTCTCCTAATCGAGATCAGGCCCAGCCATCATCCCACCCAAAATAGGAGGGAGAAAAGACTGGTTACTACTAAGGACACTGCAGTTATTAGCCATTGCTCTTTGAGCTTTCCAGTTTATTAACCTGTAGAAGAGGCGACAGATGCAACACAGCTGAGGTGTGAGGTGTCCTGCACAGGACTGGGTTCTCACTGGAAACCTCATTCTTCCAGTCTCATTGGTTGTACTGACTTTCAGAAAAGCATTTAACAACAGGCAAAGATTTACACAGCAGAACATCTCCCAGCCCCATTGCTGCTTGTATTTCCATTACCAGCACAGCTATCAGCAGGATGTATTCACAGTGGAGGTGGACGACCAGGAAATGGTGTAATTTGGCTGGCAAGGAACATGACTACATTCTGCCTCCACAGCGATTTGGCCATGGGCTAGAGCATAGCATATACAGCCAAGACAAATACTAGCATTTATAGTTGGTAAAGGCAACAACATTTAAGCATTTGTAAGTAACATCACATTTGACAGTCACAAAGCCTGTTGAAAACAGCAGTCCAAATAGGACTCCAAATCCATTACTCCAAATCTAATTTCCATTAAATCCTTGTGTCAAACAAAAGGAATATTCTAAATTCCTTTTCTGCTAGCAGGGTATAAAGTTGAGGAGGCAAGGGGAGACACAGGTCATGAATCAAACCTATAGCACAGCTAGAACCCTGAATGCCTTCTCCCTGGTACATACCTTAGCTATGGGATCACTCTTAGTTTTGTGATAAATGCTTTATACATCACTGCCTTAAAGATTAGCAGGTGGGAGTTCTCCGCTTAGTAAGCCATAGAAACATTTTCTAGCTAGCCTAGTTAGTTTTAGTAGGAATAAAACCACTTTGTTCTCTAATTCTGTTGACACACACATCCATGTGTATGTACATACACTTCCAGATTTATATGCAGAAAGTATTTCCACCATGACATCACAATCAAGATTTAAACAACAATTTTAACATAAAAGTTTAGAAACTTTATGCCACCTTACCATAAAGAGCTTTTGCACTTGTTCTTGAATTCTGCTCCCTCTCTGCCTGGGTAAATGTTGGGGAACCATAGCCACTGGAAGAAAACATTTCAGGTTAACTTCCACAGATGTCTTTGCCACACAAACAGGCATTGAAAAAAAACCCTTATGCAGAACTACACATACCTAGGACACTACTATCAGAGGTAATGACATTGGATATTTGTTCAGCACCATGAATACAATAAAGTGTGTTTCACTTCAGCTGGAAGCCCTTCTGAGCTTTCTTTTGTTGCATTAATACAATATCATGCACAATGGGGGTGTGGTATACATATAGATACCACCATAATGTAAATAATCAGAATCACTTAATAGTAGTAGTAGTAATACTAATACTACTAATAATAATAACAACAACTATAGCAAAGACTTGATAGGAATTTTTTTTTCCTGCATACACAAGTGTTGTTTTTAACAATTCTAATTGTTTTTCATAAAAGCCTTAAAAGAGACTGTTATTGCCTACCACAAATGAAAAGGCAATCCAGCTTCCTTCTAGTGTAACAACAAGAATGAGTCATAGACAAGCTAACTTTAAAGAGACAACAATATGAGAAGCAGATGACAGCACAGATGCCCTGCTCCATACAGCAATACACGTTGTTTGGCATCAGATTAGGTCAATTCTCATTACTGCTGCGAATGAGCCTAGCACCACGCTTCTAATACAGGGAGCATCCTCTTATCTCAGGCGAGGTATCACTTTCAGGTTAACAGTTGCTCAGTTCTGTTTACTGGGAAAAGCTATTTTCTCACTGATGGCAAGGGCAGCTTCATCTTTTATGCATACAAATGCATTCACTCAGAGCTAACCTTAAACATCTCAGGCATACGAAGAATTCTCCAAATAATGTAATAAGTGTGCTATGGCTACAGCAATTTATTTTTCTGTTCCAGATGATTCCATTTGGTAATGCAGCTTTACAGTTACACTAATACAAAAATCAGTCAGATATCTGCCAGTTTGGTTACATGGTTTGGAAACAGCACATTCTTAGACAGAAACTGCCTTTGTATTATTCCAGTGGGATCTAATAATTATAGCTCTATCTGAAATAAAAGCATAAGAAGAAAATACACTATTTTTTATCTATAAAAAGGAAAATCAAAGGCATAACCTTACTTCATTTGAGGAAAATAACTTCCATATCCACCAGGAGGGGTGTTTGATATATGTCCATTCATTCTTATCGTCACTTACTGAGGGAAATGACCTGGGAAAAGAAACAACAGCATATGAATTGAAGTCTCTTAAAAGATGAAGGCTTAATAAAGATGTAATATAAACCTAATAAGAAAACTATGGTTGAAATGGGAAAGGAATGGTGATGTCTTAAAGACCCATTATGGAACTTCTCTCAATTGCAATTTGATAGTTACTGCTTCAAATAATTTATAATTTAATGAATAAAGCCATTATTATTGATACAATGGTCTTTAAGAATGGCTTTAGAAATAAAAAGCTAACAAAACAAAGAACATCTACTGCAGAAGTGAACAAGATGTTCCAAATGGCAACTTTAATAGTCAAGCCTGCTTGATTCTAAGCCTCAATTCATCTATTTCAAATGAAACTTTTGAAATTACCTTTTGATACATATTCTGTGAAACTTACCAGTTGAACTGTTAAAAAGATGCATTATCAAAACAAAATACAGTTGTTAGCAGAAAAGGAAATCTGGTTAGCTATTTTGCAACTGAAAAAAGCCTTTTTTTTTTAAGCAGCATTTAACATCCTGAAAGTTTGGCATGCCAAATGAAACCTCTCATTTAAGAGCAATACTCAAAAAGGTAGGATGAAACAGTTAGAAGAATGCTTTCTCCCTTTAATAAAATGCCCATTGAAGTGAAAATTGGCTCTGCAAAGTGACTTTCATAAGCCTGAAACAATTAACAGATCTCTATTCAAATTACGATGGACAATTATTCTTTCATTTAAACACATGTGAATAATATATGTCTGAATATTTTTCTACATCTTGGTCACTAAATAAAGGATTTATTTTAACTCAGCAAAACAGTCAAAAGTATGTAAGATAAAATTTGTACCTAACAAAAGCTCCAGCTCCAAAGTAAGCACAACCTGCTTTGTTACACTAGAGCTACCTTACAACCAGTTTATCTTCTGAATCATTAAGGCAACTTACTGTCTCATTTCCACTGTTCTCTTCTGCATTTACCAAACAGCAGCAAGCAGCTGGTTGACCTATAGTACACACTGCATTTTGTATCCATATATGCTGTGTTACTTCCCTCTTTCACGCAAAAGTACAATCACAATCACTTTCTATTCTCAGCTCTCAAGTCTTCTGCCATTTCAAGAGATATACAAACTGCTTTTGGTCTTCTGTACTGAGAACAGTCATTTTTATACCTTTCCGAGGAACACCTGACATCTCCTACCTGAGATGCTGTTAGCCAAGCTAACTAGAACTGAGCTGTATTGATTACATGCCAAACGTAATCATGTGAAAGTGCTGTATTGCCTTTAGTGAGCACATACTTGGTAATTTTACTTAGAATCTATTTTTTTAAAAATAATTCCTTTAAGTCTTTGATTTCTCCTTGCAAAAAGTCTTTACTGACATACCCATATTTTAATTCCATTTCTCCTGCACATCCCCACAAATATACCACGTATCCAACTCAATAGCCTGTTTGGCTGCTCTAAGCCACTTTATAAAAAGTGCAGTACTTAGCAGCTGTCTCCAGTAAATTACTACCCATGCTGAGTGCTGCTCAATTCATTAGCAATTACAACCTTTGGAAAGCATCCTGAAATTGTCCCATGAGTTGAAAGGATAAAAATATTCATTTTCTCAGCAGAATTTGCCAGGTGACTGTGCGCTCCTTGTTCCGTTTCAGTGACTGCATGGACCAGAGCTACTCAGAGTGCTCTTCTCCAGCTCATGCTGCCATTAAGCTCCTCAATGCTTCCTATCGGCTATTAATTTTTATCGTCTGCATCCGCTGCCCAATTTGCTAAGCTGCTTAACAGTTTACCCTGTGATTAGCTTCATAAAAGTGACCAGACCCAAAAACCTTACACAAATTATGTCCATTGCTTTTCAGTATCCCCAACTTCCTCTACCTTCCATACACATATTATTGAAGATAACACTTATTAAATAATTATATTTGCCATGTCTTTTCATAATTTGTGATTTTTTTATAGCTCTATTTATAACAAGTTCCACAACTATTTGCTTTAAAGCGAGATGTAGAAAAAACTTTTGGTTTAGACTCTTTCAAAATTATTTCACTCCTTTTAACCTGATATTAATCTGGCAAAAAATGGGTTTGTTACTTGTATTCCACTTAATTTTATAAAAGTGGTGAAATGGATATTTAAAGTAGAAGGAATGTAATACATTAGAACTTAAAGCTTCAGTCTTTGAAATTAACATTACACACGAAGTTTTAAAGCAGCAATGAAGCTGGATAGCAGATTTTCACACTAGGGGAAGAAAACATGTCTCAGGACTAAACACTTGCCTACTGTAAGGCATAACACCACTTAGAGTAAATATAAAAAGCTTTAAAATTGCATTTTCAGTCAAGTGATACTGAAAATCTGAATTCACAAATTTTGTCTATCTTTCAAAAAAAAAAAAAAAGCCAAACCCAACAAGCAGCTTGTTCTGCCAAGTAAACACAAAAGTTTTAGTGAGCTTTAGCTGAAATGCAAGCAAAGCATCACTTGCTGTTTGGTAGTTGAGTGAAGCCAGCAATATTTCCTGACCCTCATGCAATTTTCCACTCTAAATATAATCAAATGCTTTTGAAATGCCAAGAAAACTACTTTGACAGGACAATTTCAAGAGGCTATGCAATGCTTTTATCACTTGGTTCAAGAAAGCTTCCAAATATTAATACAAACACACCCTTTACAGTCATTACTTATAATTTGTCTAAATACCTATAACGGCATCAAAAAGCTACTCATAATTCCCCAAAATTATCAAGCCATTTCATTTCTTTCAATATAATTGTCTCAAAAAAAAAGTTTGAGGAAAACACGTCAAATTTTTTATTAAGTGCATGACGGGGGGGGGGGAGGGGCAGGGAACCAGAATGTGCAGTGCTTTGCTTATTAGGCACTTGTACTGCTTGCTTTGCTGTACTTCTCATTTCAAATGCTCTTTCATCTCTTACAACCAGTCCTGTAGCAAAAGTCAACCCATGCACACCATGAAGCCACTGTCATCCAGGAGTCTATTAATAAACTCCACTTCCTCTTTAATCTTCCCTTTCACCTAAGCCCAGCAGTTCACAGCAAAATACGCTGGTGATCCATGCTTTAAGATAAACATCCTTCAAAATACCTATATGGTCCCTCTTTAAGTAGGCCTGAAACATCAACAGTTTACTTGTGAATATGCCAAAGCATGGTCATGTCTTTCTCAGGATCTTGCAAAAAAAAATAAAAAAAAAATCAAGCTTTCTCTGAATAAAACAAAATTTAAACCAGGAAAACCAAGTAAGAATTTAACAAGAAAAGAATAAGAAGAAAATAGGTAGAATGATAATGAATAATAAGATAAATATTAAGATATTTATCTTTAAACATATTAAAACAACAGTAAGAAAATGGTTATAAATAGGAAATTCCTAAAAACAAATACATACTAATTTCTTCCCACAATATCAGAGACTGAACAAAAAGAAATCTACCTCAGACTTCACTGCTGCCATCAGCTTTATTTTTGAAGGGCCTCTAGCATATTGATTGTAAGCACCAATATAAATGACAAGTGTCCATCCTTTATAACAAACCATTTATGAGACAGATAAACTTTAATTCTTTAGTAGTCAACAGTTATAGGTAGTCTAACCCCAAACATGGGCAGTATTATACAGGTATAAAACATGATTACATCTGTCAAATATTTATTTTAAAATATGTCCAAACGCTTTGCCTTCTCTACCTTGTAGCACACAGCAGCCTAAGAAGAGCCATACAATCTGTGTGCAACAAGCTGACACATTGACAACTCACATGCCTTGCCATTTAATTTTCTAGTAGGAGTTTGAAGGTAACAAAATCCCTCTATCTATTTTTAAAAAAATCCCTTTTCTGAAGGGCAGAGCTATATCATTAAAGAAAATGAGATATTCCAGAGACTGATGCCCTTTTCTACTCATCCTGAATCACTCAGTCCTACCCAGCGACAGATCACAATATCAGATGGAGAAAAGAAGAACAGCTTAATGCTATAGGTATTTTAGAAATTATCCCAGAGACAGGGACGGAGAAGGGTTAAGGAGAGGAGGATGTCAGGGAAGGAAAAGGAAAGCCAAGAATGGCTGGAACAGTAATTACCTACCGATTAAGAAAATGTTGTCAGTAACAAGTCATTGTTATCACATGCCCCCCAAAAAACCGCCAAGAATTCTTCCCCAGCTAGATAGCAGACACAGGCTGCAACTCCAGCCTAAAGAAAAACAAGGGACTATTACAAGATAAAACTTATCTGTAGCAGATCTGAGATTGTAGCAATGTCAGAAAAGAACAGGCTTTCTTCACCCTTTCCCTTTTTAAAATATTATGGAACAACAAAAAAACAACAAAAAAACCAGATGTATCCATGCTACACTGCAACTCACTATGCATTCAACAAAAATGTCTTATTGCTATTTCACAGCACTCAGCACTACTGTTCTACATAACAGAGAAAAATATTTAACTGTTTTTCATTTATTTCTTCTCAAACCTCACCCTGTTCATCCACACATACTTTTCTTCCTCATGCTAAATTTTTGAATATTTATTAATTTTAACCCCCTTGTTTCTCCACACTGAGGTAATTTCTTCCATTATTCTTTATGTTCTTGTATTTTGGTGTCTTCTTTTGTCTGCCATGCTGTTCTCATCCAACACTCTCCTACTTGTACCTTCACTCCAGCCGCAGATTTTACAAATGGGAAACTCTTGATAGAAGTAGGTCCTACAAAGTCAGATGAAATGTTGCTGCTGCCCTCTGCTTTGGGACTTGCTTCAGCCAACATCCAGGAGCAAAAATGAGTTCTGCTGGCTGTTCTACATCTCGCCTCAAGATAAACACCAAGATGCACATGGTTGCATAAGTAAGTATTACTTCGGGAAATGATCACTGAGGATTTTCCATCCTCGGTACATTGCCAGCAGAATTTCTCCGAGACAAACTGCTACCAGTCAGGCTGGCAGCAGTTTCATACTGTAATGTTTGCCA